ACCAGGGGTGGCCAACACGAGGCCCGCGGGCCGCATGCGGCCCGCCGGTAGTCAAGTTGCGGCCCTCGGAGCTAGGTCAAATGAACGTAAATGTTAACTTTATTGTACATATCACTAAAAGAACATTACTTCATGAGTTATTCGTATCATGTATTTTTAAATTACAGCTAAGAGAAATTTGAAATATCTCTCATTTTTGGAAAAATTCATAGATTTTTAGCTATTTCAAACATCCCGCTATTTGACGCTCAGGGTTACTTAGTTTTTTGTCCGACGCTAGGTGTTGATAAAATTTAATATGAGACTTCAACTTTAGCTGTATATGTTCTGTGGGCTTCGGCGTTTTCGGGAAGCTCGCAATGCTATCGGCCTCATACTCATAACTACTTTCACTCCAGCTTGACAAAGTTCCGTGTTATTCTGTAGTTTCGTTTTATTATTGTCAACGCATCTGGAGAGATTTTGCAATCGACAGCACTCAAAGTCAGATGTCTCACTTTTAAATATTTTTAAATTGTCTAATAAATATGTTTGATTCTCGGCTATGTTTTATTTTCTTCAAAAAAATAAATATACCTATTTTTTGTGTTTTTTACATTAAACTAGGCAAGTGTTTGACCACGATCTCACCTACCGGAAAGCGACCATGTGGTTGAAGCTGTAGCACGCATTCTTTACTTTAAAAAAAAAAATAGGTGCGTGGCCCGGCAAGAAATATTATTTCTGAAATTTGGCCCGCCTTCTGAAAAGGTTGGCCACCCCTGCTTTACAGTATTTACGTGGAATACTAAAATTAAATGAACAGCGTCTAAAAATGATTATAGAGTTGCTAGTCAGCATACTGAGAATACAAGCTTATGAATGCTACAAATGCTATGTAAGTAAGAACCGGAGCACGGACTCGGCAATTTCTGTCCATCCTGTGTGACTTGATCCATAGCCATTTTACATGTTGACAGCTAGCTGTACTATTAAATTCGTTGAAACAATAATATGTATAGTTAAATTTGTGATTTTTAGTTTCAATTTTTCCATTGACCTCCCAATCGACCCCTGGGAGTCGATATTGACCACTTTGGCGACCCATGCAGTAGAGCGTCGTTTATCCGAATCAATTGGGGGACTGGGGTTGTTCGGATAACCGATTTTGTATGAAAAATATATTAACCTATCCCATGTTGAAATTTTTCTCTATTGCGTGTTGCTTTGTGTTGAATTTTCATTGAATTTGCATTGAATGTTAAGCCTAATGTAAATTTTTTAAAATAATAATCATGGCTATTGTACCATTAAAAATTATTTCTTTATTTTGTACAAACAAAATAAATATATTGAAAAATATAAAAACAAAAAAATTATATTTTGGAAGTTAATCTAGTATCAAAAACACTCGATTCAGCATGACAGTCCGACTGGAATGCTTTCGGTTAACCAACATTTCGANTTGGAAGTTAATCTAGTATCAAAAACACTCGATTCAGCATGACAGTCCGACTGGAATGCTTTCGGTTAACCAACATTTCGATTGATCAGCTTTTGGATAAACGACGCTCTACTGTAATAATATAATTTTTAATAAAATATCATAACAAATGACACCACCAAATGTTGCCGGGAAAGTTAAGCAACTCGTCGCTTGATTTTGTAATATATGCATTTTGGAGTTAAAAATAGTAGCGTTTATAGAATGGAAGTTTAGATTATAGTTAGTTGTGATGATAAAAATTTAAATACTATAAAATACATCAAAACTCCAATTAATTGAGAACTCAAGCCATCTGGATAATTGGATGTTTGCCTAAAATTGTAAATTTTTTTTTTTCTATTTAAATACTTTGTTATGTGCACATGTGTATGATTATGTGCAAATAAAATAATTAAAATATTCTGTGTTCATTTTTGGCAGTTTTATTTTAATGTATTAATTTAATAATTTATGTATTTTACAGGAACAAGATGTGTTTGAAATCACAGATTTTACTACGGCATCTGAATGGGAAAGGTAATTTTATAAAATTGAATGCTATTTTGTCGTCTTTAACATGTTTTCCACACTCGTAGGAACCCACCACGTCCCTAGCTGTTTACCAAAAAATTTTTGGGCTGCAATTTGAAAAAATCGTAGACATATAAATTCTCACTGTCCATCCCTCTGTAATCTGGAGAATTGTGTTAGATAGATGAATGTCAAGACCAGATATGGAAAGCTTAGGGTCAGGAGGCCCTGATTATACAGTGGGTGATCGGTTAACGAAAAAATCGGATAATGAACACTTTCGCGAAAGATTTTTATGATCGGACGACGAACACATGATCGGATAACAAACACTTCACTGAACAAACATAAAAAGAAGCGACAGAAATAGCAAATACTGATTGATTTTCCTTTGTCTTCAGATAACTTTTTGGACACGGGAGACATCAATGTCAACGCTCAACCTGATATATACTGATCAGATAGTATTCCTTGAACTTTGAAATACTCCCTTGTAATTCCAGCCTTTTATTTTATTGACAAACAATTCTTTTATAGTATTCGCGAGACTGTCAGGCGGGCACTCATTAAGTTTTGCGTTGGTTTTTATTTTCAAAAGGTGAGAGTATAATAACAAAGGTAGAGAGTGGGCACTATGGCTTGAACAAATCCACAGTAGGGTGCAGTTCAATCTTATCTAAGAAAGATACTGTATAATGAAGAAAACTCAAGTAGCTAAAGGAGTAACAAATATCACATCTGAGAAATAAAGAACATTGAAGAACTCATAATTGAACCTGAAATGGATCTGACGACAGAAGAACACCAAGAACTCTTGAATGAAGAACACCAAGAAACTCAGCGAGATATGTTTTATTATGAAAAAGAGGATTAATGCCAATATCTGCTATTAATTAAAGATCTTTTGAAGAAGTGGGGGATGTCAGATCAACGGTCTTAGAATGGCATACAAACTAGGTTGAGGTTAATAGGCTTGGGGATCTCTACAATTACAATGCTATTAATTCTGAAAATCCTGAAGAAGAGAGCAAAGCAATCAACATTAGACAGATTATTTAAACCCCACAAACAAAAAACATGAGTAATAAAAATGCAAGACTGTATATGTATGTACTTTTATTATTACATATAAATAAACGTAGTAAGAAAGTATATTTTTTTTATTTTTGGGGGTCTCCATAACGAATTAATCAAATTCCCATACAAACCTATGGTAAATTGATAATCGGATAGCAAACAAACTTTTGGAACGGATTATGTTCGTTAACCGAGCACCCACTGTATATGAACTTACATTTTGGCCAGAAATCAGGTTATTTCAATTAGAAAATTTTCTCCTGGACAGAATTACACAGCTGGCATGACTTCAGTGTTAATTTATGTGTTATTTAGTTTTAATTACTTTTTTCTACATTAAATACATCAAAGAAAATATATTCAATCAATTTGTTTGCTATAACTGTAAACAATATTAAATTAGTAAGTATGTAAATTCAGTGTATGTGCACAAAAAACCATAAGCTTTATTTAGATAAATGTCTTTATTAAAAATAACATAAAACATATTTCCATAACTCAGAATTCAAAGCAGCAAAATTAAACTTAGGCTATTTAATCACAAATATAAATAAAATTACCAAGATGACAGTCTTTACTATCACACATGTAGACAAAACACTAAATTAAAATGTAAAATTGTCTAACTTTTGTTCTTTTTCACACCTTTGAGACCCAATTTGTCTGTTGAGAGTTTGGAAGAGTCAACTTTACCTTTGAGACTCTTGTATGCCTTGACGTGCAAAAAAATATTAAAAGACTCGGACTATTATTTGGTCTTGAAGGATGAAGGAGGACAAAAGATGAAGTCACTTTAATTCTTTAATCTTGTGTTTCTTCTTCTTAGACTGTTTTATATTTAACAAGCAATTATTCATTGAGACATTTCACAATGCTGGGCTGCAATTTTTAAATTAAAAGATGATGTATGAACTTTCAGTCTAGACCAGAAGTTCATACAAAGTTAAATTAGGCCTCTGGCTCCTAAACTTTCTAACAACAACAACAATAACACCGGGATGTGTTACAAAAATCATACTCCTAGAACCTATTTCCAGTGTGACGAAAAAAACAAAAGAAAAAGTTCACCACAAACGTTTTCAATTGATTTTTGTCTATCTAGTTGTTTTCAAGATTAATGAAGGACAGACAGCAGGCAGATGACAATGGAAATGTATATGTCTGCAATTTCAAAATTGCAGCCCAATAAGACCACACGAGATGCCACAAAAGACCATAAGAGCGCCGAATACCATAGTTCTCCACCTCCTAAATTATCTGTACTTCTTTTAATAATAAAAGAGCAAAGTGTTTACTAATTATATTTTATGAAAGTAATTAATTTAGACTTTTTTAAAGTTAAAAAAAAAAGTTTTTTTATTCTAAATCAATAAGTGATTTTAAGAAAAAATATATTTTATATATTCAGGTTTATTGCCCGTATAGAAGAGATCATTCACGAATGGAAGTTGGTTTCATCAGCAACTGTACAGCCACCTTTAAAAAAGGTAAATATAAATTAGATTATCATAAAAGAAAAGCTTTGATGAATCAAAAAGAATATCAGAAAAAGGTTCAAGCATAAATATATTAAATCATAACTTGATACAGCATACTCTTAATTAGCAATTTTTTCGTAAAGCATCACAATGAATACTTGCAAATGGATCTTTTGTTATTAAATAGGAACCTTTCATAATCTGCAAATTACTAAAATGTATGATTTTATGTTGTAATCAACATTGTTATTGCCAAACCCAGGCTTTTGACCTCTCAATCACAAATTTGTACAGTACATAGACTTTGTTACTATATATATACAGGGTGTTCCAAAAGTTTCCATACTTACGAAGATGAAATGTAACTTTATTCACAAAACATTAAAATGTTAGCATTAAGATTTGTGTCACTGGATTGACAGAGTAAGTCAGTGGAACATGTAGGTGATCTGCCAATGGTGTAACCTCTAGCAGGACTTCTTATGTGGAAGCTGGATTCTGTTTAGTTGTTAGACACACGAAGAAAACCCAGAACACTGCATGGTGACCAGCCCTTTGGTCAGGCACGAACTAATGACTAACTACCAGTGTTCGATGGTTTTATTTATTTGGCCAGTGGTGGGCTTGATTTATGTCAATATATGGAGACTTTTGGGACCTTGTATATAATTCTTATTATTTGAGGTACTTAAGTTTGGCACCATATTCAATTTACTGCAAATTTCAGGTCATTTTTTTCATATTTCAAAACCGTGTTGTATCTTTATATTAGTTTTTCAAAATTGCAATGCAGCGTATAATCAACACTTGGCATAACTCATTTATTTATTTCAGTTATTTCACAAAACTGAAATAAATGAATAAGTTATGCCAAATGTTGATTATTATGCTGCATTGCAGTTTTGAAAAACTAAAAAACCAAATTTCAGGTGTTTTGAATACCTGAAGTTGGCACTAAATTGTTTAACCTGTGCAACTTTGAGGTTGTGAGGTTGAAAGCTTGTCGGCAATCCTCAAGTGAACGAAACAGTCACTCCTTGATTATGCGAAACTGATCCTCTATCCTTGTACTTATCATTAGGTATGTATCTGGGATTTTCTATTCAATTTTTGTAAGACAGATATAATGTCTTTTGTTAATATTTTCTAATTTTACAATGTCTGTCTGATCTGTTTTTTCTTATATTTTTTCTGCTCCATTAAAGCATTTATTTTACAAGTTCTATATTTTAGAATATTAATCTTATTTGACTGTTTTGATTATAAATGAAACAAAACCTTATCCATTGACATTAATTAACTTTAATTGTGGCGCAACTCAAGATTTGTACACTTTGTAATCTGTCAAAAATACTTACAAAGTTTACAAATCTTGAGAATTTTGCTACAATTAAAGTCAATGTCGATAGAAAGGATTTTGTTTTATTTATGATTTATTTTGACATTAAATGTGGTACACATATCTATTTCAACTAATCTCATTAAATAATTATAAAATTTATTTTATACAAGAAATAAATTCTAAAGTGTGAAGAAATAACAAAACAAAGACATTTTTATGCATTCCTCTTTTTAGAACTTATTATTATTATTACAGTGGTACCATGAGTTACGAGTTTTTCGAGATACAAACTATCTCTCGGCTGATTTTTTTGCATGGAGTTGACAGGCTAGCTTATAGAAAAACACATAATCAAGTAACGTAGGCATTAGTTCACTTCCATGTTGTGTGCAGCATCATTCTCTCATTTCTTAAATTTTCCATCTTTTCTTTCTTTATCTATGCAGCAAACGCCACAACATCTGCAAAACTAGTTTATTGCAGTATATTCTATTGTGTTTTTATACAATATTTGTTATTTATAAGTACATTTTTCTTATTTAAAAACATGTAACAAACAAATTGCAGTGTTTTGGGGTCCAGAACAAAATGGATTAATGGCATTTCAATTCATATCAATGGGGAAAATTGATTTGACATATGAGTAATGAGTTCCGTCACAGAACAAATTAAACTCATAAGTCAAGGTACCACTATATTATTATTTTTTGTGAGTTTTCTGAAAGTGTATACTCTATCATTATAGCAATTTAATGAATCAATCGGAGATTAAATAAATATTTAATTTAAATGAATATTGCTTAGTTAATAGCACTAGCATAGTAGTTTTGTTCAATGCTAGTGACAAAGATACATAGTACTTATGTATCTTGTTACTTAGTGTAAGGAACCAAGTCCAAGCGTTATTTTTATTTTGCTTTTTATTATATTTTGTTTGGGGCTTATGTTTTGTTAGGACGAAGTTTCCCTCAGGATAGCTGGTGCTCGATCGGAATCAGTTTCATTCGGTAAAGCAAATGATTAGAAGCCTTGGGCCGAAACGACCTCAACCTATTCTCAAACTTTCAATGGGTGAGAAGTCCAGTTTACCCAATTTAAGCCCGGATGATTCTCAGGATGTGAGTGCCCAGTGGGCCACTTTTGGTAAGCAGAACTGGTGCTGTGGGATGAACCAAATGCCGGGTTAAGGAACCCGATGCAAGACGCTCATGGGATCCCATGTCCCTGTTCAGGCGCCAGTTGTAAAGTACTATATTATTTTTCCGACTTTTCCAACGATTATCGACACGACTGTGTGCCGGAAATAGCCATTTCCTAACAGGTACTTTACGCGGATTTGCGTTAGTGTGCCAGGCCTGGACTTTAAGTGTGCACCAACTTAAATAATGACAAAGTTTGTCAATAACAAATCAAAATTTAATAAAAGTTTTGGTAATAAACTATATACAAAATTTAGTAAAATTCAAATAACAATTTATTCAATGAAAGTCAATAAGAATCAACCCGACAAAACTCAAATCAGTCTATTTTCTAACTTAATTCTATTCCCCTTTGGAATTCGACAAAATCAAAGACTTAATTTATATACAATAATTCTTATGAATTACAGATCCTAATCATCACCTCAATATACTAGGAACCTATTTCCTCAACTCTCAAGACTTTCTCTATTCGTCGATCCACAAATCGAATAACTTCAAAATCGCCTTGGAACTATTTGATCCTATCGGACACCTCTCTCGTTCACTGCTACGAAGCTCACCAAGCTCGTTGCTATCAGAAGCTCATCTCGTTTGTCTTCACTTGAGGTTCAGTCTTTATACTGTGAGGTGACATCACAATTCTAAATGTGATCACTCCCCTCATTTACATACTTATTTGCTAACAATAAACTTTTTCTATTTGTCTGGCAGCCTATTTTTCCGACAATACTCGCTAACCTTTTACATTATTCTTTTTGACAATTTTGGGGATGTTTTTATTCTTTAAGGTTTAGCGAGTCCCTAAGTTGTGCTTGAGGGGTCTCCCCCTTTTCTCAATGCGGACCTACTTTTTTCCGCTCGGGAGCGCAAGTGTGCACGAGTTTTTTCTACGGCGCTTTTCTCTCGTTGGTGAGTTGGTTTCTCTTCTATTTTTAAGTTTCTAAGGTGAATGGTGAGGAAACCTTCATCCTAACAAAACATAAGCCCCAAACAAAATATAATAAAAAGCAAAATAAAAATAACGCTCGGACTTGGTTCCTTACATTAGTAGTTAGTATTAAGTACATAGATACATCAAGGAAGACAATTCTTTCAAAATGACACGAAAACAAAACATTTTTTAACTAGATACTTGTATCCCTTGCTTAACATGAGATTTGATTAATGTGCAAAATTAACCACAACAATCCCTTTATATACACAGCAAAAGTTTTAATTAATGTGGTTTTAACAGCCATTACTTAACATAAATGTTTTTCTTGACAAATAAGGTGTTGGTGAGTTTACTATTTTTATGCCGAGGACAATTTCCGGTATAGATATGCAGTTTAATTATGATAGTTGTGAAATTTAACACATTACTGCTGATGTGATATTGTATTCTTTGTTTAGAAGATATTTTTAAAACTTTATTTTACATTTTGTTTGTGTAAAATCAGATTGAAATGTCTGCAGACAAAATGCATATCGGGCATATTATTTATGCTTTTTAACCTTTCAGCTGTGCATCTTGATAATCCGAAACAACATCGTAGTTGTGTAGACAGTTTCTGGTTTTTATAGTGAATTTTACTTTGCAATATCTCTCTTAAAGATTGTTGTAGATCTGATCTGTTTTTTGTCTTTTATCACACACATATCACACTTTACAATTGTTCACTTTAAAATATTATGTGCGTTTAAAAAAATTTATAAAATTTGAGATTTCAAAAAATCAAAAAAAAATTTTTTTTAATAAACAATAGGTCTATATTCTCACAAATTAAAAAAAAACTGCAGCTTTCTAAACTGATGCAGAGAAATAATACGGCCTATAGATTATAACTCCAATCAGCGTGGAAGGGTGTGGTGGTTTTTCTAAATCTAGGTCAATACAATTTTTTTATTGATGATATATATTTGATTCTATTTATATGTTATTTACACTATTGTACTAACAGTGGTATATATCAAGTGATTATTACTTTATTATATTAATGATTACACATGTATTTTTTACGTATTTTGAAAGTATTATGATAACCAGAAGTACTTCTTTTTAAAAGATTTAAGGCTGGATGGCTTAAAAAACCTGCTTGTTTATTAAATAGGATAAATATACATAAAAATTTACTAAATTTGAGCTAAAAATAGATGAGAATAATGATTTATAATTGTTTGTTTACATTTGTAGCTGACAATGTAGCTCCGAGAAGGTATAACTTTTTCCAACAAAGTTCCCACCCCACAAACCCAAGTCGATGCTTATTCGTTAAAGGATGGTCATTTAGCTATAATATACTAATTAGAGCTCAACAGACGTGCAAACAAGGATTTTATTGTCAAATGAACAAAAGAAGGTTCTCCCATAGACTTAACATGGAAAGGAGGACTTTTATGGGTAAATTTAAAAATACAGGGCGGTAACAAATATCTTATTCATTGAAACAGACTTAGTCTATTTAGATAAAAGCCAATCAGTGCTTAAATCGCCACCAACTAGTTAATTACAAAAATAAATTGACACTTACTTCAACTGGAGTACTGTGCAACAGTTTAACTAAAACCAGTTTCTCCAATGATAGTACCCTGCAAACAACTGGTTAAGTTTTGTAAACAATATAACTCGTACAAACAGACAGTAAAAAATACTTGAAGTGTATGGGGAAGATGTTCCTGAATATCAGACATGTCAGATGTGGTTTTGAACTAATGAATGCAAAATATGGGGGCCACCCAAAAGTTGTTGACAAAGAGAAATTTTAGGAAGAAATTGCTAAAAATCAACAAATAGCAACTCATGAACTTTCAACAGATCTTAGCATATCACTGACATAATGATTGTGTTAAGCATGCATTAAGGGGGAAAAAAACAAACACTGGATCGAGTGTAATTTTTCTGACAAAGATAGGAAGCTTTAATGTTTCATTTCACTTTTTAAATTACTTACACATTTTTATCATAGAAAACTTTTCTTGTGGGTGACAAAATTAAAATAAAAAATATGTTATTAACCAAAAATTTGTCCTAGCGAGTCGTGATTGTTCGGTCAAGTACCAAGGTACCACTGTATTTGATTAACGCGAATGTATGTGGTAGCATTGAGGAATTAATTAATTGGGTTAATCAAGAGATACCTGTATTAATTAATAGCATTTGATAAACTAATTTAAATTTTTACATCTTAATATGTTTTATTTTAATGAATTGCAGAATGAATTAATTACTTCACAATGGGAAGAAGAAAGAGAGTCGTTATTATTTGCTAATGTATCATTTGATGTGATACATCATTATATTAAACAGGAAAAACATAGTTCAGATGAAGTTGCCGGAAGTGATGAATCTAACGGTTAGTAAAGAATTAGTTAAATGGGTGTTAGGATTTTGAAAAGTTTATTTATATTAATATATTTTTTTGTTATTTGTAAACATTATTTTTAAATTCTGTACATGAATTTGTTGTGAATTTATCAATACAATAATTATAAAAATAGAATACAAATGCAAAAAATCTACTGGTATTTCAATTCAGACTATCAAACAGTAATACTGAATATGTCTTATAATCAAGTCTGTTTTATCAGGAGACAGAGTTCAGTTGTTAAAAGAAATTTTATTTGATATACATTTTGGGATTAGAACATCCCCTCTTCGAGCGGGAACACTCCAGTTTTTGGTCTGCAACTTGAAAAAATTTTAGACCTATAAATTCCACTGTCATCTGTTCATCCTTCCTTGATCTCAAGAAGAGCATTAGATAGAAGAAAGTCAACACTAGATATGGAAAGACTATATACAAACTTCTGGTTTACACCAGAAGTCACATGAATTCAATTCAAAAATCTTTCCCTGAATGGAGTTATAATTACCTCTTTCTAACCTGTTACCGGTGTGTCTACTAACTCTTAACGATCCAAAACGAATCAAAACTAACGTTTTCGAACCCTTAACCGGTTCTTCTTCAGGTTTTTTTCGAATCTCTGATGGAAAATGCAGCTCATAAAAACTTTAAATTCGAAATATGTAAGTTCGATGTCAATTAGCGATGCTGAATGGAGTTACGTAGATAATCAGCATGACTCTGTTATTAACATGAAAGTATGATGTAAAGAGGCAAGACACTAGTAATTTGAGATAGAAAACATTAGTCCAAACAGGAGAGGAAGACTTCTTACACAGGGCCATGGACTTTCTCAACCAATCACACACCGTCATCTTACCAGAAGACCCAACTCCATCTGTGTTAAGAAAAACGAAGAAGATAGTTACTTCTGTCCTTTCGGGACTCCTGGATCCCCCCATCCAATGTTGCTTGCCCCAGGCTTTTCTTTGAAGCCAAAACACACAAAGTGGGCTGGCTGTTACGGCTTTTAGTCAGTAAGAGGTCCCATCCCACCTACTTCCTCGAAAAAGCACTTGCTAAGCTGCTGGGTGGGCTTCTTCCTTCATCCTCTGTCACGGCCAAGGCAACATTATGCGTTATGCTGGATGGCTTGTCTCCGGATACTTACACCTTCTATAAAATGGATGTTGTTGCATTATATCCTTTGGTCTTACTTATCAAAGAGGGCTTCACTGCGCAGCAGGTTTGAGAAGCATTACTGTTTATTACAAAGCACAGTTATTTCCTCTTCAATGGGAGGATTTACCTGCAAAAGCAGGGGGCTGATGGGATCACTGCTGTCAGATGTGTTAGCAGAACTTGTCATGAGGCATCTTGAACACAGGGTCTTTAAATTCTCCCTTACCATGGCTTACCCCTTAAATCTATTTAAGGTACATGGACGACATTCTTTTGACATGGCAGGATACAGAAAACTCCTTCCAGATATTACAGCATCACCTATCAAATGTGTACTCCTCCATTAACTTCACTTGGGAAAAAGAAATTGGGGAAAAATTACATTTTTGGACCTGCACATCCACAAATCCTAGGAGGATTTGGAATTTTCCATCTACCACAAGTTAGGCAATATGCTTCCCATAATATCAGCCATGGCCTGTCAGCCACAACAGTATGTTAACATGGCCATAGCTTCCTTAATCAGACAGGCATTCTTACTACCTTCGACACAACATTTTATCAACACCAAGCTAGAGGTTATCCACACAGCGGTACATGTGGTGGGATATGGTCAGGTCCTGCCAAATACAACCATGTCAAAAACAGCATTAAACAGTCTTTCTTCCCTGCTACCACCTTGCTCAGTCCAATGGATTGGACAACACTCCATCCCTCTCATACTGTGGCTGCCTCACAGACTGGATTTGCCAGATTTTTAGGCAAAATGGCTTTCGCTTACCCATAGCACCACACCCAAGTCTGAGACGACTCTTGTGTAATGATAGGGATGTTATTTCCACTGTGGAAAAATCTGGTGTGTACTCCATTCCCCTGCAAAACCCAATATCAGAACTAAACACCTATTATACAGGTGCGACCTCCAGAATGCTGGCGGTTCGCATATCTGAACACCAACATTCAGTCACACTAGGCAATTGCGATACTTTCCAAATTGGTGCTACATCACCACCACACAGCACTTTGGAATCAGGTGGCGATACTCAGACATTGTGAGGAAGGGAGATTGCTGTATATTTGGGAGGCCTTCCTCACTAAGCTTCTCTCCCCATGCAACTCCCCTATCTTCAAATTACCTGTTGTTTGTACTAATTTATACAAACGTTTAATCAACGATAGAAAACATACATTTTAAATAAATTAAGAATACAATTAAAAATTGCAGCCCAGCATTGTGGTGGTGTCACAATAAATAAATGCTCATTAAAATTTAGATATTTAATTATACACTTCTGATATCACAATATGCTTCTTACACAATTCCAGGAACAATCCAGTTTTTACATCTACATGACATGCTCCTTTTCCATTGCTCCAATGTTAAATTTCTAATAAATTGTAAAGATGTCAACAGCTTCTTACGAATTACCATTTGATAGTGTGAATTGGAATACCAGTAGATTTTCTGCGTATGTGTGACATAAAGTCTGCTATGGTGATTTAGTTTATAAATCATTGCATATATGTAAAAATAGAATTTGAGTGATATTTTAATTCAAATGTTTTATAGGTTAACAAACAAAAATCTTTGGACATTAAGATATTATAATGTAAAATAGCTTAACAAATATTTTTTTTATTTTTATGTTGACATTTTCAAGGCAAAGAATAAAAATGTTATTTAAGTTTAGAACAAGAATTTTATGAACTTTGAACTTTTAGAATGTATTTGCTTAAATTATAGAAAAATTTCTTGCAAATACACAAAGTAATGTGAATAAGACTAAAAGTGTAATAAAGTATTCTGTGTGTGAATAATTGAATAAAGGTTAATAGAAAATGCATTTTTGATAAATAAATTATCTATTTAAACTTCAAATTTCACTTTTAATTAATTTCCGTAAATCTGAGTTCATTTTTTCAGTAACCCTGAAAATATTTTTAGACTTAACTATAAATTGGCACATTAAAAGATAGTTCTGGTCTAGTTTGGCTCTCTGCCGCTTGTTTATTGCATGGAGCAAGTGAACTGCATCAGTTAGTGGAACATTGTATTGAATGAACATTGGTGTCCCACATTGTGAAATCCACACATACAATCACCACTATTGATGACATTGTGTTGTGCTGGATATTCCTAAACATCAATGTGTTCAGCTTGTATAGATGTGACAGACAAGCACTTTCGATATCATCTGTGATGATGATACCACAGTTGGCATCTGTATTTATTTATTTATTACTGTATTATTCTGTGCTTCCGTTAAGCTGTGGACTGGAGCTACTTTTTCATGCATAACCTAATATTATTTTCTATATTAATTTATTTTATATTCATAATTTAGAGTATATTTTTAACAAATTTTTATAACCGCTTCTAAAATTTGTGAAGTTTTAATACATTTGCCAAGATCAGCGTATCGTTTCAGAGCTACTTCCTTGTGCAATGACCGACGTTATGTCTTGGGAAAATGATTTCCCCCCTCGAGCACATTGTTTAGTTCGATGGTAAGTTTTATTTAAATTAACTTTTTATAATTATTGCTTATTTATCATAATGTTAGTTGAAATTACCGTAATAAGTATAAATAAACTTTGTTAAAGCACATGAAGAAAATTCAGAAAATTTCACACGGCCAGCCTTTTTCTTACATGTCTAACATCTAAACAGCAATCATTTTTGCATAGAAAGTGTTGCTTTGCCTTATCCCATCAATCCAATCTACTTCAAATATAAACATCTGTAAGCTCAATATTTATGTTAAAGCCGAATGATTGCCAAATTAGCCTGATGTATCTGGCAATCATCTGGCTTTAATCTACTTTTGCGTGCAGCTTTGTGAGGTAGCTTTTACAATTCAAATTTATCTTTGTTTTCCTGGAACTCTGAAGGAATAAGAGCAGTTTCTTTTGGTTACCAACAATCTACTTAATTTAGAAGTATCATAAAATTGCCAATAGGTTACTTAATTTTAAAAAAGTTGATTAAAAATACAATGAACTATATTTCATATCATAAAAGTAGCTTTGGTTTGTTCACAACCTTTCTTTTGCTTGCTATCAAAGTTCAGCTTTAGGAAAGAATCAATCAAAAGTTTTAATTTGTTCATTTAAAATCTAAAAATTTACTAGGTTTAATTTAATTAAATAGCAAACTAAGTATATTTGAAATATTTAGGCTTAATTATGCATTTTTCATAAGGTATAGTTGCAAGTAATTCAAATGAACATGGCTTTTCACTCCATATAATAGTTTTATTTTTATTTTATTTTTAAAAAATTAATCAGAATACATTAAAAATTGAACATAGGAAATTCCAGAAGAATAGACTGACTCAGATCGGGTGGAAAAAATTATACCCCAAAATATAATTTGGCAGTTTACAGGCCTAATTTCATTTGTATAATCAAATTTCAATATATAAATCAAGCCAAGGATGTTCAAACTGCAATTACAGTAAGTTTGTTGATCTAGCCTATGAAACAAGGGTAGTAGCCTGAACATGATACTGTTTGTGACTATACTATGTTAACACTGATTGAAAAACATGAAAAATTATTAATTAACAAACATATTATTGAACAAAATCAGCATTTACAATCATTCGTTTGCATATATTTATTTATTTTCCAGACACGTACCATATTTTCACCCAGGATCTTTAGCACATTACACATCCAAACAGATTCCAGTTCACAGAAAAGTACCATGCAGGGTTATTATTGGGCAATTCCAAATTATTTTCTACTTTTCAGAGGATACCAGATTAACAGACTTTTACTGTATTATAAAATATTATTAAATTGTGAAAATTTTGAAGGAAATAATAAATTTAAACACTTCTAATATTAAAACATTGGGAAATGTCAATATTTGTTCAATATGTAAAGATTTCCCAGCTATTTTTATGGTTTACAAACAATTTTAAAAGTAAAAATAGGTCAGAACTATAATAATGTATTCATTTGTTTGAATTATAATATCTAAACTAATTCTCTGACTCAAATAGGAAATACCATTAAGTTTACTTTCAAAGAAGCATTTTTCTTAGTAGGCATATGACACTTTATTTAGTAAAATAGTTTTAATAAGCAAACCAATGATGTAGTTGTTTTCAAATGAAATGAGCTGTCATTGGCTTGCTTATTTGGCTGTATTAAAGTCGCCTTACTATGCAACTCACCCTGTTTATGTGTGTGTGAAATAGTATGAGTAAAAATTATTTCTCAAACACAAGCTGTTTTCCTTATTATAGATAAATTAACTAATTTATTAATTTTTCTAAAGTGTGTAGAAAATTTTTTAATTTTTAACTTTTTGAAGGGGGCCATTTATTCTACGTAGTATGATCCAAAAGTTTGGGACTTGGCGTAATTCCTTACCTTAAAAAGTTTATGTTGCCGATGCACAACCACATTCATAGTAATCACCTTGGATGACAATACACTTTTGCCAGCGCTCATATAACTTCTAGAAGCCATTTTTTGAAACCTACCGTAAGGCTTCCTGTGATGCTGATCTCACCTCATCTGATGACACAAAATGGTGTCCCTGCAAATGCTTTTTTCATTGATGGAAACAAATAAAAATTACACTGGGCTAAGTCTAGTGAATAGGTGGGGTGTGGAAGCACATTAATTTGAGTTTTGGTGAGAAACGTTTGGGATTGATATGCAGGTACGTTGTCATGCAAAAGGTACCAGTCTCCACTTTGCCATATCTGCGGATGTTTACGATGAATGGATTCCCTCAAATGACGTAAAATGTCTAGATAATACTCCTTGTTTACTGTTCTGCCTTCAGGAATAAATTCTGAATGAACAATTCCTTGAGAATTAAAAAATACCTCCATCGTGACTTTCCCTTTGCTCCAATCCTGCCGGAATTTCTTCAATCGCGGTGAGGAGGGTGATTTCCATGTTGAAGAAGCACATTTTGATTGGATATCAAATAAATAACACCACATTTCATCACCTGTTATGATGTGGTTCAAAAAAGCTGGATCCTTATCGGCTTTGTCAATTAAATCACTCGATATTCTCATTTGCTCTTCCTTTTGTTCAGAAGTCAAAAGCCGAGGGACAATGTGCTGAGACACTCAGTGCATGTTAAGATCTTCCGTTAAAATACGCTGGCAACTAGTCTTTGATAAGTGAGTAGCCACAGCAATATTTTCAAGGATTTGGTGACAATCTTTGCAAACACATTGAGAGATCAACTCAACATTTTCCTCGTTCCATGAAGTCAAAGGTCAGCCAGAGCATTCATCATCTGCAATGGATTCTCGGCCCTCTTTAAAACACCGATGCCATTTGTAAAACACCTTCAATTTTGCCATAGTACAATTGCCGTACACCTTTCTTAGCAATTTTAAAGTTTTCATAGGTGTTTTACCTAAACACTGACAAAATTTAATGTTGCAGCACTGTTCTTGAAACTCCATTTTTATTACATCACAGAACAAAAGTAACTATCTCCGGAAGAAAACAGCAGCGCTTGCGGTTTAATCACATGACATGAGCAAAACCAACCTGAACACATAGAGATGGTTTGGTAGAATCCATTTCATATGCTGTAACTTCAAATATATGCTTTTGTTGTCATAGATTACTGCAGTCCCCGAACTTTTGGATCATACCACGTATGTCCATCAAGCCCACAATGAGAGCATCCAAATAGAGTCTAAAATAGAGGGACAGAGTCTAACATATCTGTGGCAGGATGCCCATAAAATATTGGAGGATACCTCAAACATTTTGCGGGCTTTCATTACAGGTCAAATAAGGTATTCGAGGAGATCTAAATTTGAATCTGGGTATCTTGGATTGGCAAAATGTATAGATTTATGAGGAAAAAAAAGGAGCTTTATGAAAGAAAAAACATAAGTCATTAATATCTAAATAAGAAATTCATTATATTTATTATCGTTTCAGGTATGGTTTAAGAGATTTCATAATTATACATCCATCTAAAAACAACGAAGCTATCACAAATGAAGATAAAGCAAAACTCTTGTTGAGCAGTATATGTATAGCCATTAATAACACAAATTGGTAAGTAAAAAGTCTTGCTGTATTTAAACATTCTTTATACAGGGTGCATAGTCAAGTCCTTATACACTGACATGTGTAAACAACACACAACATATGACACAGTAATGAATTCAGCATGAAGACAGCAAAATATGAAACATACATATTATAAATAAACACATAAGATATGAATGAGAATGCATGAACACATGAGGAATACATATTTTATTGTCTGTGCTTGACACGCACATTAGCATTTCACACTTTTGTATATGAAAAGATGTCCTTTCATGTTAAATCGATTGCACTCTACAACTTTGTAATTGACTTTTCTTTCGGAATTGTGCATCTTTTTCAAGATGAATGCAATAATTTTTGAATTTTACCAGTATAGGTGCTGCAAGCAATCTCATCTTATGGCAGATAGTCTCTTTACTATAACATTTGTACATCTACACATCACATTCATAACTGCAGCTATCTACATTCATCTGTTACATTGATGTATAAAGGCTTTACTATGCACACTGTATTATCAGGGTGATTCAAAAGTTCCCAGACACTGACAACACTTTTGTAAAAAAGATCTCTAGCACTGGCAAAACTGCTGTGAATGCAAACGAGCTGGTATTTGCATCATCATCATCAAAGCACGTACTATCATTTTATTGAGCTGCTGAGTACTCCTTTGGTAAATTTTGTTTTCTGAAATAAAGAATGACTGACAAAAAACTAATCACTCAAGGCACTTTGCATCATTACTGAGACAAGTGTTCAGTGCAAGGGTAGCAGCAGAGAAAATTTGCAAATTTGAAGGCCCAGGCCTGATGAACAAGACAACTTCAGCTTGACTGGTTCTGCTACTTCAATTCTGGGAACATTGGCCTTGTAGACAAATAGTGGACAGCAACCTCTATGCTGAGCAACTGGAAAAAGTGTTTGAAGTCCTGCAAACTCACTATCCAACATTGCTTAATCGAAAGTGTACACTGCTGTAGCATAATAATGCTCTGGCACACCATTCCATGGTCTAAGAAAACTTAGAGGAACTGAAAGGATCAAAGTTTTGCCTTATCCAGCATACAACCCTGACCTTGCTCCATCAGATTTTCATCTCTTCCGATTGTTGGCACATTTTCTGTGAGGACGTTCCTTAAATTTTGACATCGAAATCAGCCAGGTGGTATTGCCAAGGAATCCACCAATCTGCAAAAAGATGGGTCAAGACCATTGCTAACAATCGCATTTATTTTGAAGAAGGGCCATGTCTTTGTGTTTTAATATCAATAAAGTTTTGTATCTTGTGTCTGTGTCTGGGAACCTTTGAATCAACCTGATAATATAATAAAAATGTTTTTACATTATATCTTTATTTAGTTCTCTTCCAATATTTGTTCAACTTCTTCAACCACATGAAAAATTCTACACTGGAATATGTGAAGGTGGGGGATTTAGAATGAATTTTGAAATGGTTCGCTTGCATCATACTCTCCCTCAGTATAATCACTTATCAGGACTTCTGAACATTTACAGATCTAAATTGGTAATTATGTTATTTTAATACATAAATTAATATTAGATAATATTTAATTTAAATGTATAATTAAATATTTAGGGTACACAATTAACAGATTTAGCTCCAATAACCGTGTCTATAAGGTTTACTTACATTATGAGAGATTGGTCTTTATATACTTGGCCGCAACCTCCTCCGGGTAAGGTTTTAAATTTCGAATTGTAAGATAATTTTATTTATAATTATAACTTTAATTAGTTTTAATTCATTAATTTCCATGCTTTGGATATATTTAAATAATTTTATTTTATTACAGAATTATCACTGTAACATATAATTTTTCACTTAAGAATGAATTTATTTTGATCATTTGTACTTTAAAGTAATATTTAGCATCATTGATTTATTTCTGTAATGTGTAAAATTTAGAAATATAAAAGCACTTATATACACAGGGTATTTCAAAAAGAATTCCATTTTAATTTATTATAATTATGTTAATTACAAGTGTCATTCAAGCTTAAACAAGACTTTTATTTCTACATACCAAAAGGAATGTCCAAAACACGTATAAACTATGTCAATTTTTTGAAATACTCTCCATCTGTATGTAGACACTGTTCCCAGCAGTGGGGTAGGTCCCTGATACCTTTCTTCGTAGAAAGAAGTGGGCTGACATAGCCAGAACAGGACAACTTGCTGCATCATCTGTCTGGAATTTCATTCTTCTCGGGTGCTCTTTAAGGGGTCCAAACATATGATAATCACTGGAAGCTTTTACCTTTAATCCTTTGATACGAAACTGATTTAGAAGCTGCTCATGTTTCCTTGCATACCCATTTCTGATTACATGTCAGCTGTTGAAAACCCATGTGGCGCACATCTTGTAGAACAGTAAGTGCTCGCGGATGATTTTCTCAACACTACCAACACCAATGGATACTTCATCTGCAATGTGTCTCACAGTTACTTGCCGGTTCTCCAGGTCAACTTGCTCAACTCATGCGATATTCTATGGTGTTGGATGAACATGTCCGTGTGCTTTGTTTGTCACCAGCTCTCTTCCTTCACCAAATTGTTGACACCATTTGTACACTCTTGCTTGTGATAGCATTTGTTTCCCATACTGTACACTCAATCTTCTCAAAATTTCAGCAAGTTTAACCTTATTCTTCACGAAAAATTTAATTAGGCACCGCTGTTCCACCATTTTGGACACATTACCTTCTGCCGTGATCACTAAAATTGCTATGCATGCACAAAATATGTCATGCTTGCTACTGAAATCTTTGGATGGATAATGCTATTCCTTTACTGGGTTTTATCATGCTACAGTTACTCTTCGAAATTATATGCCCAAAAGTCTCATTTAACATTGAACAACCCTTGTATTATCTGAAAACATTGTAATGAGTGTTAAAAACATTGGGAAAACTGTCCAAGTTTTCCCAATGCAGTCCAACATTTGTCCATTACAATTTCTCAATTCATGCATCTTGTTTCATGTTGCAGACATCCAACTGATGCTCAAAGTTTTCCTATGCTCGCTACAGCATATCTGTCATCACTCAACCCACAATTCTACAGCTCCTGTAGATTACTTGTGTCACACAGTGACAAGTGATTTTGACTTTGTGAACTGCAGAACACACAAAATGCTTTCTCTGTTGTGTATTTAACTTCCTGATTTTATAGGAGAGTATTCATGTGAACAACAGTGGAGTTAGACCATAAAACTAGACTGTTGTTGTTAGACTACAACAACAAATTTATTAACAAAAATCTACATGAAAGTTACATATTTTGCTTAAATTCTACTATTAGACTAAATTCTACTTCTGCAACTTATATAACTCAAACAAGTTATTTAATTATCCAACTGCCTTAGCATCTAACAAATGAGATAGAGAGAGTTTACAATTAATTAAGTCAACATAATACCTCATTTTTTTCAAATATTCTTCGAAGTCTTTGGCGGGAGCTGGCTGCGGTTCCTTGCATTTTGGTGGGAAACTCCTTTGTTCCAGACACAAACTTTCTTCTCCACAAGTCTGGTTCTCCAGCTCTGGATGGTTTGTGTTCAGCCTTATTTATTTCATTTTAATTGTCCAATTATTGGGGACAATTTCAGTCACTGAGGAAAGAAGCAACAAGGATCCTCCTTGTTGAACTGGTATCAAAGTTAACATCTTTCCGCAGGAACTTCCTTCCAAATTAAAAGAAAGTCCACCATGACTCATGACTAAAAAATGGTTTTTTGTTAAATTATTAAATTTTACATCAATTTAGGCAAAAGTATTGGCCCTAGATTCTCACAATTAAAATATCTTTTAAATTACAATTGTTCCTCAGTATCTATGGGAGATGGTTTTGGGATTCACCCATGGATGCTCAAGTTCCTTATATCAAATGCCATAGTGTTTATGTATAACCTAAACATGTTTTTCTGTATACTTTAAACAATTTCTAGATACTTGTAATACTTAACACAATGTAAATTTTATATAACTAGTTGTTATACAGTATTGTTCAGGCAATAATAATAAAATAAATCTATACATATTCTGTACAGATGCAATTACCATAGGCCTAACTGTCTATTATATGTTGGAAACAACATTTTCTTTCTTTTGACACTTACAGATTACATTTTGTTCAATGGTCCAGAAGATAAATACACAGAAAAGAATAATACAGAATACAGTATTCAAAATATAACTTGCTTCTTGGAACATTCTGCAGTTGTTATTAATTTTTTAATAGTTTTGATCTGCAATCGGATGAATTTACAGATACAGAACCTGTGCATACAGAGGGCCGACCGTATACTTTTAAGGCACTGTAATTTAACTGAAATTGTACTGTTAGAGAGCACTTACTATTAGAAGGCAGCTATTATTACTATTCTTTAGGAATTTGGTCAATTATTATTCAAGGATGAGTATTAATGGAATAAATCAAGTGACTTTCTTCGCTGTATTCAATCAAAATTTAACATTTGATACACCCATACTTTATTTCAATATAAGGTAAGAATAATGACCGAACAGACCGTGCATCTTTTCAGTTTAAAATAAGCACTATCTTCCTCCAATAGACAGTGTGTTTAGTATTAAGAGTGCACTGTATATAACATTTTTCATCTTGCAGCTGCGGTGTTTATTAGAATAAATACAATATATGAAATTATCTGATGTGTACAGTGAAACCTGCATAAATCAGACTCGTGTGGTACCGAATATTTTTTACATTTTGATCAAGGTATTTTAACAAAATAAAATAACTAAAATATATTTGATTATATAGATATAAATGATTTTGGAGAAGATTTAATGCCTTCAGATTTAGGAAAACTTCCTTTCGGAGCTACAGAAGATCCTATTATGTAAGTAATAGATTATTCTTAATAAAAGGTCTTTCAAAAGAATGCTATCATTTTAAATTATTGTAATTATGTTAATTATTATCCGAGAATGTCATAATGCACATTAAAATGTTGGAAAACCATCCAAGTTTTGCATTTCTCCATTACAGTTTCTCAATGTATGCACCTTTTATTGCATAGCACACCTCTGATAACTACTCAACTTCTTCCTTTTCTCCTACAACAAATCTGTTGTCACTCCTCCCATAGAGCCACAATTCTAGATTTGTCATACAATGAAGATGCTTTGCGGCATGTTCATCATGCAACAGATTACTTATGTCTCACAACAACAAGCAATTCTGACTTTGCAAACTACAGAACTCATACCTTCTCTATGCTTCACCATTTTTGTTTATGGTGCTTTTTAGAGATAATAGATGACAAGACGTTTAAATGCAGACAATAGAAGAAACTCTGACAATCAATTGGTGTACATCAGATACTTCTTGAATAATAATTAGCTTATACTTACAAATAATTTAAAATGATAACATTCATTTTGAAAGACCCTGTACTTCTGATTAATCAATCAATCAAATGCATCTTAAATTATATATTTAGAGAGCTTCAATTGTCTGTAACTTGGATGCATTGTTCCGCAGATGTGGTAGTTGATAATGATGTTCACTCGTAAGTTTCTTCTATTGTTATTTTGTCATATCTGAGATTACAAGAGTGTTTGATCATTTCACTTTATTTAGAGATCTCGATCCACTTCGTGCACCAAAATGGTCAGTTCGGGTTAGAATGACAGAAAATCCAGCTTGTTTAATGGGTGAGTATTTTATATAAATTATTATTAATTTTAATGAAAAGCCGAATCTGTAATTTCAGATTTATTTCTGACTTTTATGTTAAAATTTAAAAGATTTTTAACGTTTTCTAGATGATTACTTAAAGGAATTTTTTTCGCTTTCTCAACAAAACGAACCGCTCGGACAAATTATCGGAAAAATATCAACATTGGACGAAGACGGTAATTTTGTTTTTTTTTTTTTTTTCTTACAGGATTGGTCAGCTAAATTAATAACTCTTGCATTGCAAAAGATAATGAAGTTTAGTTTAAAACGTTAGTTTTTATAATATAATAATTGCTGAAATCAGTTAATTACATTACTATCATTAATGCATTGATTACATTATAAATAATGCAGTTCAGTTAATTACAATAATAATAATTAAAATCAGTTAATTGGATTACAACTAATTCATGAATTCAATTTAATAATTAATTTAAACTTATACTATAGTCTATAAAGCTAGATCATTAAGTTATTATATTTGCAGACTTTCTGATATACAGTATTTATGTACAAGTCTTGCAATTAAATCTGATTTTTGTATGATTAAATAATTGTTACTACTTATAGTGAAGTTTTTATTAGTGATTAAACAAGATTGTTTGGAAAATCGACAATTGAAAGGAATAGTGGTCAAATACAGTGATACCTCAGTTTTCATCGATAATTCATCTAAAAACAATCAGCGAAATCTGAAACCAATGAAAACCAGGCAATTATTTTCATATAAATCAATGTACATCCAATTAATTCATTCTAGACACCCTAAAATACATATCAAAAACACATTTTATAGAGAATAAATATAGTGTTTAATACTAAAAACAATAAGAAATGAATATAAAATGAATATAAAAGACTAATATGATGGCCTCTGAAACAGAATTGCCATCTAAGTGTTTTTGATTGATCCAAATTAATAATAACTGTTCAACATCTTCAGCTGTTTGCAATCTATGTTTTGTTAGCACATTCACACCTTTCACTACGTTAGCCTCCTTTATTGCTTCCTTTTTTTGCCACAATGGAAATTATGTGGATGGCAACTTCCTGTACAGTATATATGGTTGATTTCAGCAATCTTAATGCCGCTCTCATATTTTTCAATGATTTCCTTCAACTCAATCAAGTTCCCGGCCTTCTTTGAAGGACTACTGGCTCTGGAAACTTTCTTTTGTTCCAAGTTGGAGCTAAAAGGAAAGGAAAGCAATGGAATTATTTGGCTAGACACACAGGATAATGCTCACACAACAAGAAACAATGCCACATTGAGCAGGAAAATGCATGGGTCACCCCTTGTTTTTGCAAAATTAGCAGCAAGATCACATGGGCATGCTGACGAAAATCAAGACAAATTTTTCATGAAAAAAATTGACAAAAACCAAAATCGACAATAACCAAAGTCAACAGAAACCAAGGTATTACTGTAGTTTATACCACAGGTCTCCAACCTATCCTTGAAACATTCTTATCCAGCTTGTGTAGCTTGTCTTCACTGATACGTTTTATCATCAACATTTGAACTAGTTCAAAGCATATAAACTTTTGAAAAGTCGATTAGAATTGGCTCATAAGTGGCCAAGTTGGTATGAGCTGGCCATGTGAAGTTTTCCAAGTTTTCTTCATTGTCTAAACACCTAAATGGATGCCAGCTCCCCATTGAAAGTCCTTCCAGAACGTATTCTCCCTTGGCAGAATACCTGGAAGATATTCTAAGAGCCATAAGTAGAGAGTTTAATTATTCTTTATTCCATTTTAAGTTGCTTTTAATTGAAGAAATTGATTAAAATGGAGTTGCTTTACACAATTCCACTCCAAAACTGGAATGTCTTACGTAAACACAGACATGTAAAACCAGCACAAATTAACTCAAAATAATACTTTTACCAATGTTTTCATCTGTTTGTAATAGACATTCCTCAGGTACGATAGATATAATGCAGAGCTAAGCGAACAGATTGAAATTGAATATGATTTTTCAAATAAATTACAAATTTAGTTCAAAATTATTTATCTACAAGACACTTAACAAGAGAGTAGGGATTAATTTTATAAAACCCCTGCTATCCACAGTCTGGCATGTTTTTTTTTTTTTGTCTTACACTTGGGATAGTTCCAATGCATATATGTATGTATATATATAATTCTCATTATACTACACAAACATATACAGTACTTCCATAAATGAAACTTTAAAATTGGTATTTGTATTTTAAATTTAACAATTTTTTCGAAAAATAATTTTAAACTGAATTTGTAATTTATTCAAAAATTTATATTTGAATTTAATTTGTTTTTTTAATTCTGCATTATATGTATCATACCTGAGGATGTCTATTACAAACAGACAAAAACATTAGTAAAAGTATTTTTGAGTTAATTTCTGTTGGTTTTAGGTACAGTACGTGCCTGTGTTGCTTACACCATCTTAAATTTATAATCATTATATTTTTGGTTTCATTTAATTTCATGTCCTCAATGGTTGCAAAATGCATCCCCTTGAGGCCCATTTTCAGCATGAAGAATAGCCGAAGGTTGGAGCAAGATTCGGTGAGTATGGCAGTTGGGCAACAACGAGAAGTTATTGTCAGCAAGGAATTGCTGCACAACAAGCAAGCTTGGTGCATTGTCTCAATGCAGAGGCCACCCTCTTTGCCACTTGTTGTGCCATTTTTCCAAACTTCATCTTATAACCTGTGCAAAACTAGCACATAGAAATGACTACTAACACTTCCAGGCTGAAAATGAGTCTCAAGAGGATGTGTTTTGCAATCATGGAGGACATGAAATGAAATATAATGACCAAACTCCTGAATATTCCAAAAAAATCCTTCCATGCTTCAAAAAATGACAGGATTGACAGGTCAAGGTAGTGATAGATCCTACTTTGAAGGTGATTAGGTAAGCATTTTTATATTCCTACCACTACAGTGCTACCCCACAATTCCAAGAACATTTGACTGCCCACGTATATTGTCATCAACCTCTTGGCCATCGTCCAGAAGTTTCCTAGATCATTGATCTCCACCTTTTTTCCCTCCACCTCTTCAAATATATAAAAAAAATGCAGCTCATAAATATATTGTATTAGAATTTATATATTGCATTTTTGCTCTCTTCTTCAGATCAAAAATTAAATAAATAAAATTTATATGTAGTGAATATAGACGTTTCCAATAAGTTAGTGTCCGTTTTCTAAATCATAAATAAATCACTTGACAACAGTTAGGTTCTGATGTTCTTCCAGTTGAATTCTTTATCTTCTGGTTACTTTATACTTTATACAAATTTACTCGTATGGAACGGCAAAACAAAGTTTATTTTAGCAACTTATTTACAGTTCTCACAAATTTACAGATTTGCCACTTCACACAATAATTTTTTAAATCTTTCTGCCCTGTGGGCACTAAGTGGCACTTTTTTTAGCATGCCAAAAATGAGTTTGGCCAGACTGACAATGGTATAGCTGAATGGCAAGAGAATGCGCCCAACAGATCTGGATGGACCACCCCTGAAAAATTCTGGAGTTTTTCAACCTGTTGGGATTTGTTGGGTCCCCACAGCAACAAGTTGCTACCTCAACTTCTTGTCCTTCTGCTTTGCATATAAATATAATGAACAACAAAAGCAATGACTGGTTAAATGTTTTTCTTTTGTTGGATTTTTGGTAGTGGTATTTTTGTTTAGTAAAAATGACCACTCCTACCAACTTGTTCTCCAAAGATGCCTCCCAAAGTCTAATTTTCTCAAACACCTCAATTTGAATCTCTTTTTTGAACAAAAGTCCATTTAAATCCCATTGTGATATTGAACAAATCTTACATTTCTGCAAGAAAAAAGTGATATATATTTTTTTAATTCAAAAATATGATTCTGTCATATTTTATTTGAATATGAAACAAATTTTCTCGTAGATTATTAATTTTTTTTCCTACAATTAATTTATATTTCTGAGTATAATTCATATTGAATTAATGTTTGCATTCTGTAAATAAGTTATCAAATTTCCTCTCTATACTTAACACATTTGAATATTCAGAAATTATTCTGTTGTTGTGAGATTTTCAGTTCAGTTTCAAGTTAAAGCTTTATTTTTATTTCTTTTTCATATTATAGTAGAGCGTCGATTGGCCAAATGTCGATCAACCGAAAGCATTCCAGTCGGGGACTGTGTTGTGCTGAATCGAACGTTTTTGATACTAGATTAACTTGTAAAGTGTAATTTTTTTGTTTTTATATTTTTCAATATATTTATTTTGTTTGTACAAAAGTAAAAAATAATTTTTAATGCTACAATAGCCACGATTATTATTATAAAAATTTTTGTTAGGTTTAACATTGATGAAAATTCAACACGAAGTGACACACAATGGAGAAAAATTTAAACATGGTATATACAAAGTACTAATATACTATATTAATAATGTATTTTTTCATACATAATCGATTTTCCGAACAACCCCAGTCCCCAATTGATTCGGATAATCAATGCTCTACTGTAATTAACTTGTGTTATCATCATTCACTTTCAATGGGCAGAAATTAAACCTAGGTCTAATCAGAGGTCTAGTTTTAACTACTATCGATAAAACTGAAGTTTCGGTAACGAGGGGCTTATATGGCATATCCGATGCCTTATCAAGTGTAAATACGAGGGTCATTCTAAAAGAAAAGAACATTTTGATCTGACAAGCCATGCAGTTCTCCCACCACCCCCACCATCGCATCATGAACCTTCCCATTTTTTCACACCAGTCTGATGCTAACAGCAAGCCGCAACGATTGTTTACTGTTTATAGTGTGACTTTGAAATGTGTGAGAAAATTAAAGATCCCGCCAAGTGTGAGGTTCATAGTGTAATACACTTTTTGAATGCAAAAAAAGTCTGCCCTATCAAAATTTACAGAGAAATAACCAAGGTTTATGGTAATGTGATGAATAAAGCTTCAGTTTGAAACAAACAGCGGGTATTGTTGTCCAGAGGCATTGTGCTACTTTAGGATAACACACGTGCACATGCGACTGTGTTGACGAAGAACTTGCTTCAGCAGTTTAAGTGGGAAGTTTTTGAACATCCTCCTTATAGCCCAGACTTGGCTCCGAGTGATTACCATCTTTTCCCAAAATTGAAGGATTTTTTGGCCAGGAATCACTATGGAAGTAACAATGAACCGAAAGAGGCCATTAATGACTGGTTCAAGAACTTGGCAGTAACTGAGTGTGCAGAAAGCATAGAAAAGCTGGTGATAAGCTATGACAAATGTGTATAAAAATAGCTAAGGTATCATATTTGATCAGGCTCTTGATGTGTGTTGTAAAATAAGTTTTGTTTCATTATCTTAAATAAAAATATCTAGAGAAACAAACATTCTTTACTTTTAGAATGACCTTCATACATTGTATGTTACTCTCTTAAAAGTTTCTTCTACTCACACCAATTGTAAAAGCACATTCAATCAGCAAACGCCTCTGTGCCATGTCATGTGGCGGCAGCTTTGAAAATAGTTATCATCATGGCAGAAAGTAAGAATACCAACCGGTACAGCTTTAGAATCAAGATTGATTGAGTTTATTCGGGCTCACGAATACCAGTGGGAGTTTTGATTCTTTATTTTATCAAAGAAAAGATAAGAGAGTACGGGCATGGCATGAAATAAGTGAAAGTCTCGCCATTGATTTTTAGATTTCTGGATATAAAATGTTGATTGTTTTTTGTTTAGTAAAAACAATATTATTTTAAATGTAGCTAAAGAACTAAGTAAAAAGTACCAACATTTGAGAACGACATTCCTTTGCATTAAAGAAAAAAAGGTGATGATAGTGTAACCTCCGTCAGGTCAATATGGTAATGTAGGTCATGTGATCGGGTGGATGGAGTGAGAGACAGCACACCAGAAGTGACTCACACAGAGACTAGGTTAACGTAACAACTGTTTAATTGGAAACGAAAGGCAATACATGACATACAATTTGTTGATAGTGAATATAATAGATGGGTTTAAATTAGCCTTTCACAGTTCTCGAGAGAGTTTACAGTGGTTTGCAAGGTGATAAATACCTGGAGTAGAGGATGTCCGAGAGTTGAATTGGATGTCGTTAAAGTGGTGAGTGTCTCTTTTTGTTGTTGATCATTGAGAAAGTTTATCCAAGAAGTATGGCACAATGTTCTGCAATATCCAAGGTGAGTAGGTGATATCCTGATGGGCACTGACAGTTAATTGTTGGAGGAATTTTGGGATGATAGACTCCTTGAAGAACAGGTGACGACTCTCTCAATTTTTCAGTTCCTTGTTATCTTCAACCAATGAATTTAAGACAATAGGTTGAAAGGTTATGAAAAACTATTACTTTTGCTGCTGAGAACTCACCAAATGATTAGCTCCCAGGTGTAAAAGTTGACAGTTATCCACCAAAATGGTGTTGTTAGGAAGTTATGTTATGATTTAAGTAAGTAAACAGATTACATTGTGAGTCTCACATCAGCAGACGAAGTGGATGTTAGTTTATGATAAGGTCACATGTTTCAATGAACAATGTGACTGTGACAAGACATCAGCAACTCACACTCATTGCAGTTGGAAAACTCTAGGTGTGACCATTGTTTTAATCACTTATGTACAGTTTGATATGCAACTTAATTCCTGTTGCTATCTGATACCGAAGCTTCGATATTATTGATATTATAGTAGTTACAATTAGACCCTCGAGTTCAATATGCTGGAGCATTATAAAAACAGAAACTGATTGTCTGCATGTATTGTTGTATACTGTATTTACATTCCTTGTTAGATTTTAGCTGGCCAATTGTTATAAATTATTAAAATATTTTTAAAATTTATAAAATATTAAAAATCTCTTGTAGAAGATCCAAATTTCGGTCAGGCTCTCGATAAATTAGCTAATCCGACAGCTCCAATACCCAGTCTGCAAAATATCATTTATCAGTCCAGAAATCAAGTACAGGTAGAACAAAGCGAATCCTCTCTCATAAGTGATGAAGTTTTAATAAAAATTTTGCAGTATATATTTCCTGATTCAGTTTCTCTAAGCAAAGAGGTAGGAGAATTTTATATATTTAAACTTGTTTATATTAATTTTGACATTTTTTAATAAATTTTCTGTAGGAAAGCATTGAATTCGAAAACGATAACGCACTTCCCGAAGTATTTAGAACAAGAAAAGAATTAGAAAAATTAGAGGTTTGCAATTATTGTATTTGTAATAATTTTTATAAATTTAGAAAAAAGCAATTTTAATGAAATTTATATTTAATTAGGAAACATTTAAATCATTCAAAGCAGCACCTCCCGGAAGCTTAACGTGGCGACTTAGTCTAGCATTGTGTAAAGTTAATTATTGCTTTGGAGGAATTGCAGCCGTAGCTCATCTTTGGCAAGAAGTTTTAGTCGAGATGAGACATCGTTGGGAAAATAATTACACCCTACCATGGTAAATATGTCTCCAAAATACATTTTAAAATATTGAATGAAATAAAAACTTAAAACTGAATTTAAATTTTCTCATTTTAGTTTAGAGTCTGGTTCGCCAAATTTGACTCATTGTCTCTTACATCAGAAGTTTCAGGTTAGCTAGTTTACAATTTAAAGTATTTCATAAATTATATTATTTTTTGAATAAGATGTTCCAATATTTGATTTGTGATTATACAATAGCTCCCTTATCTGCAAAGGACACATTCCAAGACCTCCAGTGGGTGATTTAAACTGCAGATACTCTTTCTGCCCTGTGGGCAATAAGAAGGCCTTTTCTGTAAGCCCATTATGCATTCAATCTTGCTTGTCTGGATGAACCCTCCCCAAAAAAAATTCCTGGGTTTTCTGACCCATCTGGATTCAATCCTGGGTCCCCAGAGTGGTAGGTACCACCAAGTTTGATATTATTGACAATATCAAACTTGGTAGCACCTTGATCCTAAGTGCACCAAAATCACTGAATCGGGACAGTGTTCCAAATTGAACACTGTTCCGATCGGAAAATTTTTCCAGGAACATCCAAATTTGTTTATTTCTACCCAAAAATATTCCAATTTGTACTATATTAAAAACAGTCAAACAAAAATTGTTGATGGTAGGTGTGTCTGCAGGTATCGCGCAAACATACACTATCTCTCTTCACATATGCCTTCAGTAATCTGTTGCATGCACATCGTGTTCTGTTGGTCTTTACAGTGCTGTGCAATGATTTCAAAATTGAGTTTTCTTCAATTGTCAACAATGGATCAATGGTTATGTCTGATTATAGTCTAACTTTTATTATTTATTTTTTACTCCTTCCTCTCTGTGGGACTAAGATCCTTGTTTTCAATCATGTACGTCATAGATTCAGCCAAGTCTACATTGAGAGAAGCCAGATTTTCTAACAAAAACAGTTGAAAAATGTAAATTAAACAAGTATGATTGGTCCAGAAAATAATTTAAAAAATGTTCAATAATTGGTAATTCAATAAAATTATTGAATTATGCATGCATATTATGCACATTATTAAAGATGCACATGTATGCGTAATACCAAATATGTTAATATTTACCATATAATGAACTTGCATTAACCCCATTTATAATGGACACAACCTCCCATGCAACATAATCTCTCCCACTTATAATGAACTTGTGTCAGAATATCGTTAGCATGTGTGACACAATTATTCAAGGTAATGGTATTCATATAGAACATGTTCTTCAAATAAACCATTTTCCTACATACAGAGACTTTTCAATCATTCCATATATAATTTTTGAATAGTTACTATATTTATTTTTTCATCTGTTCTTTGTAATCATTTAGAAATTTAAAAAATTCAAAACTTCTCAAGATTATCCATTCATTTATTACACTACAAATTGATACATTCCAGATGTTAAATTGTTGTATTCAGCGCAAGAAAGTGAGAGAATGGAATCAATTGAATCAAAATAGTTTGTCGCTCGTAACGTCAGAAAGCAGAGAACCGAGTTCACAGTCATTTTACAGTGAAAGCGATGGTGACGACGAATATTTTGAATGCAACGACGCATCAAATAACGACAAAGAAAAGGCAAATTCGAGTGACAACAGCAGTAAATACTTCAAATTTTCAAAATTATTGCAATTATTTTTCTATTGTGAAAATTTTTGAGCAAATAATTTAACTTCAGAAACGCAAAAACAAGTTCCGGAAGGTCGGCTGAAGCAGTTAAATAATCTAACTTTATTACATTCTGGTGCCCCATTGTTCATACCCATTACTCAGGTTCGTGCATGTTAAGTGGTTATAATTGTCATCATTAGTAAAAACACTTTTGTAATAATATTGATAGACTTTTTGTTATTAAAGGAACCTTCACCAATGACAGAAGACATGTTGGAAGAGCATGCTGAAATCTTAGTTCAGTTGGGAACTAATTCCGAAGGTGCCGCTTTGCGTGCAAGAATGCAAAGCGCTTGCCTGATGTCAGATATGGAAGCATTTAAGGTTATAAATATTTTAAAAATTCAAGACAAATAATTTAGAATTAATTAAGACTTATTTAATTATTAATAAAATCCATTTTTAAATTAGGCTGCAAATCCAGGTGCATGTCTAGAGGATTTTGTCCAGTGGTATTCGCCCCGAGATCTAATTGAGGAGACCATAACAGACGAAGAAACAGGGAAAACAGTGACTAAGAGTAATTATTAAAATCTTTTATGAATGTACATTTGACTAGTCATTAATTGTTTTCATCTGATAGGTCACCTGAGTGCTCGTATGCTGCTGCCTGGCAATATGTGGCAAGAAGCTTGGGAGAGTTCTCGCGCCGTGCCCGCACATCGCCAGAAAAGACTCTTCGATGACACAAAAGAAGCCGAGAAGGTCTTACTTATTGATTTTAATTAAATTCTTATTTTCTAACATACCAACTTATCGTTATTTTGTAAATTTAGATACTCCATTATTTGGCAGCAATTAAACCAGTTGATTTGGTTAATCATCTGATGCCTGTTTTGATATATAGCACATTGGTTCAGTTAGCAGAATGTGGTGAGTATTAGAATATTAAAATAATATATCAAAGCATAAAATTTATTAATTATACAATTTTTAGTGGAAGTTGGACCCCCTTCACTTGCAACTAAATTAATAGAAATAGCTAATAGAACAGTGAAAGTCATGCATATGCCTCAACCATCGTATAAGGTTTTGTATTCTTTTTATAAACCTAAAATTGTTTAAGTAAGAATAAATATTTAAATCAGTTTTATATATTTTAGGATATTTTAAGTATGATATATGAAGCAGAAGTAAAGATTTCACAAGGACAGTCATTATATGCAAAATTTTGTAGTGAAGATAACAGTAGTGAAGAAGAAGACAAGAAAAAGACATCCAGAATTGACGTGGCCACGAGCTCGGGCACAGTGGATTCCGAGAATGAAAACTCAGAAAACACCGTGCAGAAATTTTGCTTGGATTTAGTCGAATATTCAGAAGTCGAGGTTCCAGGGGGAAGCAAGGGCCTGATAGGAAATAAGATTCGTCGACTTTTTGCCGAAGCCCAAAGGGTATTTTGCTCAGATGCATTCTATAAAAGTTCATTTTAATGTAAACTAAGAGTGCCTCTCTTTTATCTGCAGAATTCTCACTTAATAATAGACGAGAAACCGCTAGCATCTTCGGGCGGGGTCTCTTCGTCCGAATACCACTCGACAGTCATGGAGTTTCCCAAACCTTCGGCCAGGGAATTCATTCTGAGGGCCAATCTGTCCAGGCCGACCCAGTGTTCCGGTCCGTCACCCCAGCGCATGTATTGCCTGCTGACGCCAGAAGAATTCCGACTAGCGGGCGCCTTCAGCGAAGACACGACATTTCAATAGATCACTTTTGTTTAAAGCGCAAGTGACTTACTGATTAAATTAACTATTAAATTTTGCATATATTCTATCTTGTACATTTGTAAAGCTAAGTGAGCATTGGATTACAGTTTTCGTTCTTCGTTGGAGGAGATTTTATAGAATTGCAAAGGAAATACTGTTAACAGTAGCAAAATAAGTCAAAAATGCTAAACTGCTTTAATATAAATGCCTGTTTTTTAAAAAATAATGAGTCAATCAAATTTTGTATAGATAATGATAATAATAATAATAATGTAATATATTACAATTTAATTTAAAGAAGGTATAAATAATTGTATTTTTGGAAGGATTAAACATTTCAGCTTGTTGATCAAATATATATCTTTCTCTCTGAACTTTCCCACCATATTTTGGAAGGAATCCAAGATTATTCTTTCTAGGCGAGGGAATGCAACAAATTTCCAGCCGTTAAAAAAATAATTTGGCATGGTTTTCCCCGTTTAATTTTCAAGTAGCATGCAACAATAAATCTCGGTACAGATTTATTACATCTGGCTCAGTCACGATTTATATTCATCTTATATACATTTTTAAACATTCGTTACGATGAATAATGAATCAGATACGAATATTAAAGAGTAATCATCGTTTTCCGTGAAAACTTTATTTTATACGATTTTAAAAACTGGAAAGAATCCAAGGAAAGATAGGTTAAAACACGCAAACGTCATTTCGGAAACCACGTGTTTCGAACCTCACGATATTTTGGGGGAAAAATTACACAAACGAGCACGCAAATTTATGAATTTTTCAAAATAATCCAAACTCCTCTATAGCAACTACAAATAAACAACACGGTAACCGAGCAACGGTGATAATTATCTATCGTAATCGCAAAACAAAAAGTCGTGACAATCACGTCAATGCGAGTCGCCATTTGTAAACAACAGCAAGCACCCTCTGGAATTTTTTTATCGTTATTTTTTATTTTATTATTTTTTTTTTAATTTCGACTTTCCGACCGAAAACGATACTTCTATAGGTGATTGCGTGTGCGTATTTTTTACGATCTCTATGGATCGATTAATTTTATTTACGTCGAAAATCGATTATTAATAATCGACTAGGTAAGTTGTAAATTTAAATAATTTCCGCGAGTAATGAAGATGGGTTGCTTCGCCGCACTGCAGTTCAATCGATTTTCGTTCCGACTCATTCCAGATGTCGATCACAGCGCATTGATTAAAGAATATAGCAACGAAAGGTAATGACGATGCATCATAGGAGGAAGGTAAGCGGCAATATACATTTTTCTACAATCGATTATTACAATTAATCGATCGTAAACGTTAACGCTCCTAAAGGTATCTTTCTCCAAATCACTCGTGTCGGGCAGTGAAGAACCTTTTACAGGGGCGCCTTATCCGTCAACTCCTACTCCTCCGCTTCTTTCTTTGATATCAATTTTATATCCTGTTTAATGTATATTTTAACGATAATATACGTTAGAGAACGCATTTAAGAACGTTTTCGCGTGGATTTCCTTTAAAAAATCCCCAAATTTGGGGAGATTTCAAAGGTAAAGTAGCTCGGCGCCGGTCGTGTTCCGATGAGTTAACTAACGACTTAGACGAGCACAATTACCCAAACAACTCCAAATTCGCTTCTAATGAGATCAAGGAGAGGAGTATTAATTAATTCTAATTAAAATTTCAAAGTTTAGAAGCCTCAGAGAAGCCAAAATGTCGTTCCGTTGATGCTGAAGTGTTATATCCCCATCAAAACAAACTAATTATAGCATCAGTAAGCATTTCATTAGTATTATAATTTAGAGAATTTAATTGTAATTAAGTCTTAAAATAGAGTAAGATATGCTTGAGGAATTAATTTAATTCCATTTAAGTTTTAATTGCTGATAGTTCAATTACTATAAGGTAAATTGATCATTTTTAATCAGTTTATATATAACATTATGGTGTTTTGTAACATAAAAATATAGTTTTAACTTTAAATCTGATAGGTTTTTCCCATAAAATCAAACAATTTAAGCTTTGATTCTGAGGGATTTATATTTAATTTTTATATAAATTTGATAATCCTTATATAAACTATACTTAATGGAACAAAAAATCTAGTTTATGCCTTCATTAAATATTAATTTATGACTTTAAAAATATCGAAAACTCTGAATGAAGCTCAAAATTATGCTTTACTGGAGTGAAATAATGCTTTGTTTGCTTAATATTTTAAAGATTTTATGCTGATAATGCTTAATTTTATTAAAATTATAAGAAAATTACAGTTAAGTGTGCTATAATAATAGTTTATTTGGATATTACACACCAGTAAATCATAATTCTAGTATAATTTTAAGAAAATTATAATAAAATTATGCTTTATTATATTATATTTGAATATTTCTAGCAAACAGTTGCATAATTTCACTTAACTAAAGCATAATTTTAAGAAAATTATGCTTTATTGCATTATCTTTAAATATTTATAGCCCAGTAATGCACAATTTAATTGTAATAAAGCATAAATCTGGTATAATTTTGAATAAATTATGTTTTTACTGGAGTAAAAACTTTAAATTAACAACCCATTAAAGCATAATTGTCTCATAATTTTAATTTATAACGGTTTTAAGATGTCAGCAGTGATTATAAAGTGTTGATTTTCCTATAAAAAATTACAATTCATAGCCAATTTTATAATCAATCATGAATAATAAATTAAAATAATATTTAATTACCTGTAATCATAAAATAGAAATGATTTATTATTAATAAATCATTTTTATTTTTCAGTACTCGTAAAATCTCTAAACCAGATCATTCGATAGATTGATTGAACACAACTATTATAATTCAAATGACTTCATCAATAATTCTATAGTCTACGTGACATTTTAAAGCTATCCTTCATACTTTTCCGAGGCGCGTATCATATACATTTGCACAAATATCGCTCCATTCTATATCAGAATGTAACTTAACAGTAGAATTTACTATTCAGATGGGACTTAATTATTGTTAAAAATAGATTATTATAATAATTAGATTCCTACCTCAACAAATACAAAGGAAAAGTATACAAGATCGGGAAGCAAGATGTCGAATGCCGTTATTAGAGTGGGTCAGGCTATCTATTTGGCCGTCGACAGATTCGTGTCTATCGGAGAGGCAATTGCGGAGGATAATCCAGAAATCAAAATTGACATGTACGAAGTTTGCAGGGATGCCAGAGCTGCGGGTAAGTTCATAAATTAGTTGATTGAATCATATATGACCACAGTGGCCAAACTCTGGTTTGCGAGAGGCATACGGCTCCCTTACTTACACAATTACTTTTTATAAATTTGGTACATATTATACATACATATTATTTTTGTAAATTATCTATTATGGGTATTGGGACATGGGGATTGTAACTCTCAACTTAACCTCAAACAGGCAACTGAAAGCTTAGGGTACATTCATAAAGTAACAGTGAGCTTTACATACTATACAGTAATATTTTAACTATATATAATATAAATACATAATGCAGCTCTCCAATAAGCCTTCTAATAGAGGATACAATCCTTGTGTATTTCTAATATATAGTGTATGGCTCCTATGACAAGGTTTGGTCACTCCTGATATATAACAATATCGTGGATTATTAAAGATTATTAATATAGAAATGCTATGAACTATAATACAAAATAGTATTTATTATCTGTGTGGAAATCAGAAAAGGATTTAGCAGTTTATTACTTTCTAAAGCTTGCTATATGTTATCAGTTTAGCTTAGCATTTTATGTTTTCTCTAATTATTGCTTAATCAAAATTTGATAGGCGCAATGATAGAACAGTTGTGTGAAATCTATCATCTGGAAAGTAGACACAGTTGTCCGATCGCCGACAAGCACCAGATGGTTCGAGCCGCTCGATCTTTACTTTCGTCTGTGACTCGTGTTCTCTTGTTAACCGATACTGTTGTTGTTAAGCAGTTACTTGGTGCCAAAGATAGAGTAAGCAATAACATTTAATTCAATTTATTGACTCTTGTATAATTTTTGGAAGACATCCAAGGACTAAAATAATATATTTTTAGATTAATCAATGTCATAGTTTAATCAAAAAACGATTTGCATTCATATTAGGTGTCGATAAGTTTAAACAGACTCGAAAACGTAGCAAATTTTACCGAATTTGTTAAAGCTTTCAGTCATTTTGGTGCAGAAATGGTTGAACTTGCTCGCTTGACAAGTCACAAACAAAATGTGAGTAAAATTTTTGTTTTTATTCACTAAACCATTTTGCATGATTGAATTTCATTTAATTTTAAAATGATTTAGGTTCTGAAAGATGAACGGCAACGCTCTCAAATGATAGTGACTAAAAAATTATTAGATCGCTCAGCCATGATGCTTTTAACTTCTTCAAAAGTAAGTGTTGTAATCCTATAAACAGAATCAATCTGATTTATAAACAGTTTGACAAATATAAATTTCATACACAGGCTTGTCTTCGCCATCCAGACTGCGAAACAGCCCGAGAAAACAGAGATACGGTCTTCATCCAGATTAGAAGAGCAATCGACCTTATTCATTTCATTGTTAAAGAAGGAGTGATACCAGATCTAGCAACGGGAACGACAAATGGAGAATCAAACCAGAACGGCGGTTATAGATCTATTTCAGGAAGTATATGGCAGGCAGAAGAACTAGAACAATGTTTAACTGTTCACAATGCAGTTAAAAAGTTTGAGGTTGTATTTTTAAATTCATATCAAATAACTAATTTATAATTTTTAAATGATAACTGATTTGTTATTTGTAGGAAATGATTGAAATGGGGCATATGACATTGATTGATGTCAGCTACAGAACTCAGCTGAATAATGCTTTTGACGCTATTGTAGAACGTACTCAAGACTTCACCGATTCTGCCTATACAACTCACGAACATAGAGAAAAAATTCTTTTACTGTGCGATCGAATTAAAATCGAATTAAGCCAGTTACTTAGAGAGGGTGATAATTTGGTAAGATATTTATTTAAACATCAGTTTAAAGATTTAAAATATATTTAATATTTCTAAATAAAACTTTTCTAAACAAACTTTGAAGATATTGAGTGTAATATGTAAAAAAAAAACAACCTGTATATTCTAACAATACAATTAATATGCAAATGAACCTTTCCAATTACCTTAAATACCGCAATCAGAAGACTGAGATGGTTAATGCATCATCCTGCAGCTATGGAAGACTTGGGATTGAACTACAAGAATTTATTGTGGATGATATATCAAGTCCCAGATATATCAATCTTTCCTCTAATTGTGCCAATCTTGTGGATGTAGCCAAATTCAAGAATCACAGCCAGCTTGCTGAATGAGGTAACAGGCAACTGCCTGAAGCAACAACACAAGAAGTCAAAAATATCCAAAAGGAATATAAATAAATAAAAAATAATAATAAGCTAAATATAATGATGTCCCATAAATACACTTTTTTATAAATAGTTCATGCAAGAGTGCCAGTGCTACAAGTGCTCTTTATTGACAACCATTCTGGGTCCCGGAGTGGTAATAATCAGTTTTACCTCAGGTGCAAGTTGCCATCAATTCAGTACTGTCCACAACAAGCATGGAAAAAGGTAGTGACCATAGGGCAGAGAGTCAAAAAATAAATAAATAATACCAGGTTATATTCTCTTAAGATTCAAAGTCGGGATTTTAAACCAAATGATGTTTATGAATGGTGACTAGAAAGTGTTCTTTTGCTTATTAAGCATATTGCTGGTGTATATAGATTGTTTATTTACACATAGTGAGATAACCAATTTATATTTACTAAGAGTAATAATATTTAGAGTATGCTTAGTGCTTGTATATATAATGTAGTATCCTAACATTGAAAAATTATTTATCTTTAACTATAATTAATTATCCATCTAAAATCTTTTGTAAAGTGAAAAGAGCTTTCCTAACTCATTAGTCTGCATACGTAATGCTGTCATCTTCAACTAGTTTAATACTAATAAACTAAATTTTGTGGGTTTGTATCAATAAACTTTTTACAACTCTATGCAAAATACAAGAGAGGATCAATAGACAAGTTAACAAATGGATTTCTGAACATACCTCTATTAGTAGAAATGTGAAACTACAACCAGACATACATTGGTAAGAACACTTTTTCCACATAATCACCAAGTTTGTTCTATTAGATAATCAATATATCCAATTATGTTGATAAAGAAGGTCACTTCATTGTGCCAGTATACAAACATAAATAACAACACGGTATCGACAACAACAACAAATATCCAATTTTGTATCAAGATCCTCTAGCTGGGTGATGGCAGTTTGTAGCATGTTCTCCACAGTCAGAAATTGCTGTCCACAGAATGTTTTTTCGTGGGCCCAAAGAGATGGAAATTGCCAAGTACCAGGTTCAGACTATAGGGATTGTGTTCTAAAACCTCCCAGTGCACATCATCAATGTGGAAACAGATACATTGGGCAGTGTGCAGTGTTTAATTGTTATGGAAGAGAATGACAACCTCTCAAGTGTCCCTGGTCTTTTGCAATAGATTCAAAGTATGGAGCAGATAACTTGTGGCCTTATTTATTGATCCTCCCTTATATAATAAAAGTATGACAAATCTATGCCTTATTGTCATTATCTTTATATCTTTACAATCCCTTATTTTTTTGATAAATCTTCTGTATTCCCATCATATACTATTAATTACATATTGTATTTTTTGGAGGTTAATCAAGAAAAGAGACAAAGAAACAATTTTAAATTCTTCATGTTTAAAACAAGTATTATAAATGTGTATAAGTGCATTTGTCACATTCATATTTATTTCTTGTACTTATTCAATTTTCTTTATTTATTTACTTACATAGATAAGTATAACCAGGGAGCCCTAGGCCCTTGGTTATGCTAATGCTTCAATCAAACTGTTATGAATCTGTTTAAAATATGATAAAAGGCTATCTTAGTATTCATAGGACAGAAAGAGTTTAAAAAATAGAAATTAATATAAAAAATAAACTTAACACAGATATTTTTTACTGATAGGAGTTAAAATATTAGCAATAAACCAACACAAATTAAAGCAACGAACACAAACCTGTGTAAAATCAACACCATGAAACATAAATAGCCGAAACTTGTGTCATATGAAAGTCAGTGAAGTGTCATTCTATCGCACAAGTATCGTGTAAATAAGGCACAATAGAAGTGTACTTGTGCAACAAAATGTAATGTTGTACAGATACACTGCTATCCTTTATTCTTAAGCCTTTATCCAACTGAAGAGGCTAAACTAAAATAATAAATAAAATGGTCTAAATTGTATATACTTTGGTGACTTAGTATAATACAAAATACAAAAATACTGAAGCATTGATTGATAATTTAAATAAGATCCAACATAACCAAGTCCTACAGATTAGCATCTCTTGAAATTAAAAATATGTATCCGTCCATCTCAATAAATTGTATTAAAACTGTATTAGTAAATAATAGTTTCCAAACTGTCTTGTTCAAAATGTAATGTGCTATATATACAGCAAAATTGTATCTGACAAATTATCAGCTGTTAGGACCACTAACATTGCATTCTTGATATATCATTAGCTTATCTCATACCTCAGAGAAGGTATTTGGATGATTCATTGTGATGGAGGGCCATTTTTGCATGTATATTTGTGTGTATTTCTTTAATTTTGGACACAAGTGTAGATCAGTTATTGAATTATAGCACTTATAGAGTGTAACTTGTACATGTACGTCACAATCAATTGAGATGGTCTATTAGTGCTGTTTGCAATTTGTAAAGCTTGAAGTATAGTATGTATGGTTGATGGAGGAAGGATTAAAAAATCTCAAAATCCATTCCAATTCCACTTATACAGTGAGATTCAATAAAGAGTCACAAAGTGCTTATACATCTGGGCTTATTCATAAATCGCATAATACTATTTTTATACATTTAACTACCATTCCATCCTTTCTGTAATGATCCATTATTCCGTCATGCATACCCTCTTTCAAAAATGCATAGTCCAAATCCTCAATTTACAACCTTAATTATATTAAGGAATAATGCACAGCAGAAGGTATTGAATGCTACATTAATTTATTAATTATGTATATAACATAAAGCAGTGATATAAGTAGTATAGTTCACTGCATTAAGTAATTTATGGAGAACCCCTATACAGTATAATTATGTTAATTCATGATATTGTTATTTTTGTATAGAGTTCCACTGGTTTTTTACTAAGCTAAGCTTCTTCTGATGTAAAATGTTTTTTATTAAGAAATTTATATAAATTATTTTCTTTATTTCTACTTATTATATTTCAAATATGTATGTATTTAATCATTTACTTCTATACAGGATCAAGCCGGCACAACATCACCAACGGATAGACTGGAAACTTTTGTTTTTCAAACTCTACAAGCAACTAAAGATCTTAGACAACAAGTAAGACTTGTTTTACCTAATTTCTTTATGAATTATTTTTATGTAAAATTATTTTTTCATTATTTTATTGTTATTACAATTGAATTTTGGCACCCCAAAACTGTTGCATCTTTAGCTCCAGGCCTAAACTGAAATAGAATAAGTGGCTTTTTATGCAATGTGTAATTGAAGATATTTACTATAAGCCAACTACACTAGTAGTTTCCCACTTCACATATTATATTATTCTTTATAATATCAGCCATATATAACAGTTTCAATTTATCCTCAAATCAGGCATGCATTGTTTTTGTCCTTCAGACTGGACTTCTTCTAAAGATGGTGGCTTAATTACCTACTTCTACCCAAATTACTTAATTCCTTAATTATTAATTAGCCTTAATGTAGCCAGATAAGAATCTGGCCATTCATTTGAATAACTTCTTTAATCACAAGCTTTCTATTATCATATGTGTTGCACAAAAAGCATATCATTTTACTTGTCATCTCCAGGGTGATATTTAAGGAAATTCTACTTAAAATTAAATTTATAGAATTGTATTAGAATGAAATTGTAGGAAATATCCTACTTTCTGGACTAATTTCAGCTATTGAATAGGTTGTGTAGTCTAATGAATTTCAGTTTGCTACTTGTTGGACTAAATAATTGTAAAAATATTTATTTTTATAACTGTTGCATTAATTAATAAATTATAAAAGAAAATTAATAGCAGAGGATATTATATTAATAATAATAAATAATATGCTTTATGATTTCTGTATGTTATAAACCAGTGGTTCACAAAGTATGATCCTTGGACTGATAGTGGTTTGTATGTGCCAAATGTTTAGCCAAGAAAAGAGCATTTTCACACATCAAATATCTCTTACATTAAGTTATCAAATAGACCATATATTTTGGCACACAATCTATCATTATCTAAGGTGATATTTACAGGATAAGAAGTGAACATGGGCATAGGTGCATTCATCAGTGAATTAGTTTGAGTAGTTTACAGCTTATGATAACATTTGAAGGATACCCACAACATTCCAGAAGCTTGTGAAGTTTGAAACTTGTGTTTGTTTTAATAAGTTGAAGTTATCATGAGTTAAAGTTCATAGAAATAAAGTGTTTTCTTTTGTATTTAAACTGTCAATTTCCTTAAAGTAATCATATTTTCTTCTCGATGCTTATAAAACAGTAGTGAGGCTTATAGAAATTCCCGATAAAAAATAAAAAATATTTTTTAATTAATGTAATATGTACTTGTATATGTAACAATAACATCTTTACATTCTACACATTACTCAAATTAGGATTTCAAAATTTTATGGTAAGCAGCCACACATAGATAAATTTTCCTCCAAATGTTAAACTTAGCAATATCCAACTTAGCAAGTCTGTATTAATATTTTTTTGTTGTTCCTTCAGTATAAGTCCATGTGCACTATTTTTAAAAGTGTGGGGTTTAAAAAAAAAACATAATTTATTAAGCTAAAATCAACAATATTCACTGGACATAATCACTTATTTTGGAAACCCTTTTTTAGTGTATTAATTTTTATAATGTATATAAAGTAACACAACACAACAGACTCAACAGGTACAAAATAAATATAAGTTATATACAAAACACTATTTAATTTCTTAATTCTTCCCAAACAGAAATGGTTAAACCTTAAAACTCTCCCGTGCATGCCTTCCTCAGCCTCTTTTCTATTATGGGCTCCTATATTCTCTTACCAAGATCATATTTTCCCTGATACATTTATGATTTAAAGTTATATTATAATAATTTGTTAACATTTATGTACCATTTTTTATTATTTAGTTGCAAGATACAGCTCTGGAGCTTTCTGATGAATTGTTAAAACTAAGGAATGAAACAAATCTTCTTTGTAAAATGAAACATATTTCTATGACTGGCGATTTTTCAAAATTAGAAGATTACACCGATAAATTTAAGGAACACGTAGATTATGTACAAGAAGTAAGAATAATAACTAAGGAATTTAGAATATTATTTTATCTTCTTTTTAAAAAAATAAATACCTTTTTTTTTAAATTTAGGTTTGCAAAATGCTTCATCACGTTGCAATCACTGAAGCGCAACAGATATCATCAAAAAGTATAGAATCTTGTTTGCAAGTTTATGGCCCGCAGGTTGGTAAAACTCTAAAAATATGGCATCATTCGTCTTAATTTATTATTTATTTCTAAAATAATCTGTAATTTTCAGGTCATGAGTGCTTGTTACACTCATTGTCTGCATCCAAATAGTAAGATTGCAAGAGAAAACTTAGACGTGTTTATCGACGTGTGGCGATCTCTCGTCAATGACGTTACGAGTTTAGCCTACGAAATCAATGAATATTGTCAAGGCCATATACCAGTATCTGCATCTAATACTTCACCACAAACTGAAGTAAATCGTTTTTTCAAATAATATATTACATTTTATTTTTTACCGTCATATCTTCAGTATTACCAGAGCCAGATTTACTAAACAAGTTATAGCTTTTAGGCCTTACATTACAAGGGGCTTTGTTCTATTCTCGAGAACAGTTAATACATATTTCCCACTAGTATTTAATGAAGTGGACCTCCTATATGTAGTGTAGGTCCATAATTAGTCTAAATTTGGCTCTGAGTATTACATACAAACTTTTTTATAATTAAGATGTTAAAATTAGCAGCGTGAAAAGTCCCTCTGCATATTAATTAGAAATTATCCATATATTCTTCAACATTCTGCCACTGAATTTTAACTTTTTTCCATGTTCTAGCTATTGTCTTCCACAGTTTCTAATAGCTATTTAAAAGCCTTCAACAGTTGTAAGGCAAAAAATGAGAAATTCTCTTTAGCATAATACTTCAAATGAACTATCACAAGTTAAGCTGGAGTCCAAGAAGGTTACAGTATATAGAATCTGTATCCTCCACTAGATTTTTATTGAGGTATTCTCTAATTAGAAAACTCAAAAATCCAATCTCAAGTGTGAAATTTTATTGGATATATTACTGGAAATTTAAGCATTAAAATGAGAAATGTAAACAGAAATAAATTTTTATGAATTTCTTTGTTATTGAATAATTATTAAAAGTTGTTATAATACAGAAGATTCTCGCTAATCGGGCCATTTCTTGCACAGAAGGTGCCAGATTACTAAGAGTGTACAGACGTAAAGCCTGTACACTCATGGCAATGAATGGGAATCAATTCATGGCAACGAATGACATGATCTGTTTCCCTGCTGTATTGATTTGTTAAACCCCCAATCAGTAGCATAGCATAGGGGGCGGCAGGGGCGGCCCGCCCCGGGTGGCACTTTTTAAGGGGCGGAAAAATTTGACAATAAATAATAATAATATCTTGTAAGAATTTGAACCAATTTATTTCATGTTTTCATTCACCTATGATTCAGACCAATTGAAATGAGCACGGAATAGTGGGAATAGTGTTACCATCCGATTCACCGTCCAGGGGTATCATGCGCAATCTGTTGACCTTTTTCTTTTTTTGCTTGTACGATTCATTCGTACTCTTATACACTTCCAATATCCAATAGGGCTAAGTCATCTACATTACTTATGTTATTCCTACCCAAGTCTCCCTAGTTGCTAACTGTAACTAATTTAGAACCAGCATGCACTGCAAATTATTTTTCATTGCAAAATGATATATGCATGCATCAGGAACTTCTGTTCGAACAAACCTCACCTGCCGTCAGGGTCAGTGATTTTAAAAAGATGACAACACTAGCACGGAATTTTTCATTACTTATTCTGTGACAAAACTGAATTTTAGTCTTTTAAATTGAGATACCTAAATAAGGCGTAGCGTGGGCGGCTGACACCCACGCTACGCCACTGCCCCCAATGCACGGCTTTGGGCTCAATGTACTGAATCAGATCACTCACGAAAACTTCCAAGGAATCGGCCAAATGGCCAAGGTACTCGATGCATCAGCCAATGCTCTACGGAGCCAGGATCAAATCCGGGTAGAGAATCCCAGGAATTTTTTGTGGGTAGTCTGTCCTGGATATATTGGGCACCTTCCCTGACCACCCAGTTGACCCATTGCAGGCCTGGACCAAACCACAATGGATATGGCAAAAAGATTATCCTAGAATCCATGAGGTAAAAGAGCCAAAGTTTTAAAAATATTTTCAAAGATCTAACTCAGATACAAATCCTGAGCAAAGGAATCAGTTAATCTCATACATTTTAATCATTTTGAAGTCTATAAATGATGATGATGATGTTATTTTTCTCATTATCAGTAATCATTGATTTATTGATTTATAAGTTTAAGAAATCTGTACACACAAACGTTTCCAATAACAGATCAATACGACAATAGTCAAATTATTGATAATCTATATTTACAACATTTATTTTTAAATATAATAATTTTATATATTTTTAATTTAATACTTTAATTACTGTTACGGAAAATAATTATTTATTTCAGAATAAACATCAAACTGTTTTCAAGGGGACCAGAAAGGGGCCATCCTTAAATTACATAATGCGGATACAGGTGGATGGATACTTTCAGATTGTTTCAATGCATTACAAAGGGGTAGGGACATTAAAAAAGCATTACATAATCATTTCTAAAATGTCGCATAGCCAACTGTATGTCACTGCTTTGTCTATACTAATATAATAAAGAGGTAATGTTTGTATGTTAGTTTGTATGCAGCAGGTAATCTCCAAAACTACTCATCCGATTTCAAAAATTCTTTCACCAATATTTAGAATGGAACCTCAGGGTGGACATAGGCTGTCGAATACATGTCGAAATTACCCTATTGGGGGGAGAGGGACAGGATTAAGGCTTACTGTGAAAAACTTTGCTTCTATTATACTATTTTAGATGCAGGTTTTTGCGTTTTTGATTGCGTTTTAATAGGGTACGTCAACAGAATGTACAGTAAGAAGGGATTTTTCGACATTCCCCCATGGGGGAGAGGGACAGGATTAAGGCTTACTGTGAAAAACTTGGCTTCTATTATACTATTTTATATGCAGGATTTTGCGTTTTTGATTGCGTTTTAATAGGGTACGTTAAGAGAATGTACACTAAGAAGAAATTTTTCAAAACATTTTCTCCTAGGGGGGAAGTGTTATACATTTATAATAAATACATTTTGAGCCACAACAAGGTGTGGCGGGGTCTGCTAGTATGTTATAAGTGTAATAAATAAAATAATCTGGGACATATTTTCCATTAGCCTCATTAGGCCCGGAGCTAAGGGCACAACAGTTTTGGGGTGCCAAAATTCAATTGTAGTAACAATAAAATAATGAAAAAATTATTTTACATAGAAATAATTCATAAAGAAATTAGATAAAAACATACAAACACATCTTTTGTATGTTTCCAGCATTAACTTTACACACAGAACAAATGTTTTTGGCCCAATTTACAGGCCTACTTTATACTTTAGGTTATAAGCCATTCCAAAGATGAAGGATCTATGTTGAGTTCTGAAGTGGAACCATTTGAATATTCTGTGACATTTAAAATTCTTATGTTGTGATTCAGTATTTAAATAAATAAATAGAATTTTAAATAATATTACAGAATATTCAAATGGTTCCACTATACAACTGAATACCTCCTTCATCTTTGGAACAGCTTCTAACTTCAGCTTCAATCTTTCGCTATTATTATTTACAGAATAGTTATTTATAAGGGGTAATCACACATTAAAGCTTTCATAAAGCTAATTTATTGAATAAATATTCATGACTATTCTGACCACCTGAAATACATTTTGGCTTAAAATAACAGCAGTAACAGCCCTCATCACTTAGGAACTTATTGATCACATACAAACATATATTTTTAGACATGTAAATTGTATCATTGTATTAGTTTTATATGTACTGTAACATTAAAATAGAATAAATAAACAGCTAAATGTCACAGTTATAACTAATGACATAACAATATTTTATGATCATAATTTTATATCAATACAAATGTATTAAGACACTTTCTCTAGAAAGGTAAATAAAATACTGTAAAGTTCTCAGTACACTTCATCTTCCTACTAAATTAATACAAAGATATAAATTACCTGATTCAAATACAATTAATATTTATCATATATAATTGTTCTCTATATAACAATTTTAAAGGAGGTTTGATGTTTATAAATTGACATACCAAGTACAGTAGATAATTGGTTATCAAACATAATCTGTTTTAAGATCATGTCCACTACCTGAAATGGGAATTTGATTAATTCGTTCTGGAGATCCAAAAAGTAAATAAAAAATTTTATACTTTCTTACTACATTTATTTATTTGTAATAATAATATATACGCTCTTCTTCAGGACTTTTTGGAAGTAATTAATAGCATTGTCATTGTAGCAATCCCAAGCTTGTTAACCTCAACCTGGTTTGGATGTCATTCTAAGACCATTGTTCTGACATCCTCCCACTTCAAAAGACCTTTAATAGCAGATGTCAGCATTGATCCTCTTTTGTCTTCCTTTTTTTCAGAAGAAAACACATTTCGCTGAGATTCTTGTGTTCTTCATTCAAGAGTTCTTGGAGTTCTTCTGTCGTCAGATCAGTTTGAGGTTTCATTATAAGATCTTCAAAGTCATCTTCATTTACCTCCAATTTGAGATCTCTAGCAGTTGTCACAATTTCATCCATAATTTCAGGGACATCATCAACATCTCCCTGAATGCAGGAGGGACACAGCTTTGTGAAAGCTGTTAAATTATAACCATGCATTTTGAATGAGCCAGATAGCTTCAAGAATATCAAATTTTTCTTTCCAAAACATTTTTAATGTTATTGTTGAGAACTGGCTTGCTTCAAAACACCTTGAATTCTGCCTTCTCATGTGATGAATGTGGAGTTTGTTTCTTGAGTTCTTCAAAAATTTCTCTAGCTTTTTCTTTGAATGACAATAATACTAGTTACATCTATTTTCATTTCTCTTTCTTTTATCCAAATTAAAATCAATCTCTCTATTTTTTCATGAATGCCACATCTTTGTTTCACAGATGTGATTTTCGTTATTCTTTTAGCTGCTTGAGCTTCTTGATTATATCTTTCTTAGCCAAGATTGTGCCTACTGTAGACCTGTTCGAGCCATAACATTAAATATCTTTGCTATCTCTCTACTCTAGCCAGCTCTCTACCTTGGCTATTATCTCTTGCTTGGTTTCTATGGTGAGCACAGTTCTTGACACTCCACTCTTTTTAGACTCCATAATATTATCAGTTTCTTTTTCAGAAAACCACTTACAAAAAGAGAACAGAAAGCAACTAGCACACAAAAACATTATTTAAATGCAAGGCCCAGATGGAATTCAAAATTTGGTGTTAAAACATTAACAAATATCTGATGAAACAGTTAAACTCTCACCTTTCAAAAATAAAAACCGATGCAAAACTTAATGAGTGCTGACAGTCTCACGAAGATTATAAAAAATTCTTTCTGTCAGAAAGGTAAACGAAAGGCTGGAATTACAAGGAAGAGTTTCGAAGTTTGGAGGAATGCTATCTGTTCGATATTGGTTGAACGTCAATGTCGACATCTCCCACACTCCAAAAGGTTTCAAATTGTCACCTGGAGACAAGGGAAGACCAATAAGTATACATTATTTCATGTCACTTCTTGTGTTTTTTATCTGAACATGTGTTTGTTGTCTGAACATAAAAATCTTTCACAAAAGTGTTTGTTGTCTGATTTGTTCACAGTCCAAACTGTTTGTTAACCAATCACCCACTGTAATTTGGACTAGAAATATGCAGTTAAGCCACTATCATCATCACCAAGATCATGTTAGATTAAATTATTAGAAATTAATTAATTAATTCAAAATATTCTGGAATAAAAGGCTGAACCAGAGTGAGACTCAAACCTGCTACTCCTGCTGACTACCTTTCAATTTTAGCTTTCAGACCAATTAATTTGGAAGATATAAACTACCATTTTGTATAGTTATCGGCCTTCCTTTAGAATAATATCTTAATATTTAATTAGCCACATTATGGCCCAATAAGAATCTATCTGTATTATTCAGTTTGATGTTTGTTCCAAAATCCAACATGGAATTGTTATTTCTACTTTTATTATGTGAAAATTTATTTAATTTCTTTATTTTTATAGATAACAATGACAACTCTTCCACCAGTAACAACAACCACAACAACAATAACCACAACTACTACAACAACAACAAATGTCAATTCAAAATCACCACAATGCATGAAACTTGATGTGGAGGTAAACCGTTTTTACATAATAAATATAGAAAATTTTATATTTTACAGGTCTTTTCTTGTCATAAATTGAATCTATCTAAAAAAATACATAACTTTTACAGGAGCAAGCCAGCATTGCCAAATTAGGTTTAGAAATGAAGATGTTAACATCGGAGATGGATGCAGAAACTAATAAATGGCCCACGACCGATAATGATATCGTACGACGTGCTCGAAGTATGTCGCAAATGGCTTTTTCTATGTATCAGTTTACTAGGGGAGAAGGAGAACTTAAAACCACACAGGTTAATTAACTTTGTTGTTTAATTTAAAAATGTATTAAAGCTTATAAACATAAAATAATTGAGTACACTTTATACGAAAAACGATTATCCAATGTAATTAATAAATCATTAAATAGAGCAGCGATTCTCAACTCATGTGCCACAAGAATAGTTTTAGTTTTTACTTTATCATATGCAATTCCACATTTACTATTTTATCCAATACAATAAATGTTATATTTATTGCTTTATTGTTCCATGAGAATAGTAAACGTGGAATTGCTTATCGATTTTTGAATATGTTGATGCTAACACTCTAAAAAGTATATGAAGGCCTCAGAAAGGTCAAGAACCACTGAAACAGAGATTAAAATGAGCCTCTGCACCAAAGTGACTTTTCAGAACAAACTCAGCTTTCACTTGTTTACAAAGGTGAATAAATTTCTGTTTCTACAAAGTAATTTTGTGCGGAGATCTTCCTCCTTTTTGTGTTTTATTGCTTACATGGAGATTTGAACATGAACAGCAGACAGTATCACAGATTAGAGGCAGATATCTTGCATAGTTTATAAGCAGGTATAAGCAGGACTACAAAAGCAAGGTTACTAATACTAACCTCAGACAATAATCACTGCTTTTCACCTTGAACAGACTATATATATATATATATGAAACAGGAAAAAATACAGACTTAAATTAATTCTATTTATGTAATTAATAGAATTATTATTTATTTAAAATTTATAAATTCTTTTCCTTTAGGATCTATTTACTCAAGCAGAGTTTTTTGCGGAAGAAGCTAATAAATTTTATAAAGTAGTTCGACATTTTTCTTATCAGGTATGATTTGTTTCTTTGTAATTATTTCAGAATATAATTAGTTCTTATATCGTTATACCTGATTATAATGCAATAATTATAAAAAATTTCTTTAAAATCGATACAAAAATTAAGAATTACTAATAAATTTTGCTTATAAAAATTATCTATTATTTTATTTATTGGCATTAACAAGTGGACCCTAATGACTTTTCAACTAATAAACTTCATTAGGAAAATATTACACTTAATTAAAATTGCATCCTCTTCAAAGAAAAAGGATTCTATTACAAATTTTGCATGGTTCATTGATTAATGGACTGGCCTTGTTTTCCAGGTTTTATTTGTATCTAATGCCACTTTCTCATAAAAGTCTCCCTGGCAGATTGCCCAAATGTTAAATTGCTGTGCCTTCTTCCATCAATCCAATCAAAACTCATGAGAGTTGAGCTAATTTGAGCTCTTTTAACAAAGTTTCTTTCCTATCGTTACACAGAACAAATAGATCTTTGGGCACTCAAACAACCTTTTTCCATNTTAAGGCTTACTGTGAAAAACTTGGCTTCTATTATACTATTTTATATGCAGGATTTTGCGTTTTTGATTGCGTTTTAATAGGGTACGTTAAGAGAATGTACACTAAGAAGAAATTTTTCAAAACATTTTCTCCTAGGGGGGAAGTGTTATACATTTATAATAAATACATTTTGAGCCACAACAAGGTGTGGCGGGGTCTGCTAGTATGTTATAAGTGTAATAAATAAAATAATCTAGGACATATTTTCCATTAGCCTCATTAGGCCCGGAGCTAAGGGCACAACAGTTTTGGGGTGCCAAAATTCAATTGTAGTAACAATAAAATAATGAAAAAATTATTTTACATAGAAATAATTCATAAAGAAATTAGATAAAAACATACAAACACATCTTTTGTATGTTTCCAGCATTAACTTTACACACAGAACAAATGTTTTTGGCCCAATTTACAGGCCTACTTTATACTTTAGGTTATAAGCCATTCCAAAGATGAAGGATCTATGTTGACTTCTGAAGTGGAACCATTTGAATATTCTGTGACATTTAAAATTCTTATGTTGTGATTCAGTATTTAAATAAATAAATAGAATTTTAAATAATATTACAGAATATTCAAATGGTTCCACTATACAACTGAATACCTCCTTCATCTTTGGAACAGCTTCTAACTTCAGCTTCAATCTTTCGCTATTATTATTTACAGAATAGTTATTTATAAGGGGTAATCACACATTAAAGCTTTCATAAAGCTAATTTATTGAATAAATATTCATGACTATTCTGACCACCTGAAATACATTTTGGCTTAAAATAACAGCAGTTACAGCCCTCATCACTTAGGAACTTATTGATCACATACAAACATATATTTTTAGACATGTAAATTGTATCATTGTATTAGTTTTATATGTACTGTAACATTAAAATAGAATAAATAAACAGCTAAATGTCACAGTTATAACTAATGACATAACAATATTTTATGATCATAATTTTATATCAATACAAATGTATTAAGACACTTTCTCTAGAAAGGTAAATAAAATACTGTAAAGTTCTCAGTACACTTCATCTTCCTACTAAATTAATACAAAGATATAAATTACCTGATTCAAATACAATTAATATTTATCATATATAATTGTTCTCTATATAACAATTTTAAAGGAGGTTTGATGTTTATAAATTGACATACCAAGTACAGTAGATAATTGGTTATCAAACATAATCTGTTTTAAGATCATGTCCACTACCTGAAATGGGAATTTGATTAATTCGTTCTGGAGATCCAAAAAGTAAATAAAAAATTTTATACTTTCTTACTACATTTATTTATTTGTAATAATAATATATACGCTCTTCTTCAGGACTTTTTGGAAGTAATTAATAGCATTGTCATTGTAGCAATCCCAAGCTTGTTAACCTCAACCTGGTTTGGATGTCATTCTAAGACCATTGTTCTGACATCCTCCCACTTCAAAAGACCTTTAATAGCAGATGTCAGCATTGATCCTCTTTTGTCTTCCTTTTTTTCAGAAGAAAACACATTTCGCTGAGATTCTTGTGTTCTTCATTCAAGAGTTCTTGGAGTTCTTCTGTCGTCAGATCAGTTTGAGGTTTCATTATAAGATCTTCAAAGTCATCTTCATTTACCTCCAATTTGAGATCTCTAGCAGTTGTCACAATTTCATCCATAATTTCAGGGACATCATCAACATCTCCCTGAATGCAGGAGGGACACAGCTTTGTGAAAGCTGTTAAATTATAACCATGCATTTTGAATGAGCCAGATAGCTTCAAGAATATCAAATTTTTCTTTCCAAAACATTTTTAATGTTATTGTTGAGAACTGGCTTGCTTCAAAACACCTTGAATTCTGCCTTCTCATGTGATGAATGTGGAGTTTGTTTCTTGAGTTCTTCAAAAATTTCTCTAGCTTTTTCTTTGAATGACAATAATACTAGTTACATCTATTTTCATTTCTCTTTCTTTTATCCAAATTAAAATCAATCTCTCTATTTTTTCATGAATGCCACATCTTTGTTTCACAGATGTGATTTTCGTTATTCTTTTAGCTGCTTGAGCTTCTTGATTATATCTTTCTTAGCCAAGATTGTGCCTACTGTAGACCTGTTCGAGCCATAACATTAAATATCTTTGCTATCTCTCTACTCTAGCCAGCTCTCTACCTTGGCTATTATCTCTTGCTTGGTTTCTATGGTGAGCACAGTTCTTGACACTCCACTCTTTTTAGACTCCATAATATTATCAGTTTCTTTTTCAGAAAACCACTTACAAAAAGAGAACAGAAAGCAACTAGCACACAAAAACATTATTTAAATGCAAGGCCCAGATGGAATTCAAAATTTGGTGTTAAAACATTAACAAATATCTGATGAAACAGTTAAACTCTCACCTTTCAAAAATAAAAACCGATGCAAAACTTAATGAGTGCTGACAGTCTCACGAAGATTATAAAAAATTCTTTCTGTCAGAAAGGTAAACGAAAGGCTGGAATTACAAGGAAGAGTTTCGAAGTTTGGAGGAATGCTATCTGTTCGATATTGGTTGAACGTCAATGTCGACATCTCCCACACTCCAAAAGGTTTCAAATTGTCACCTGGAGACAAGGGAAGACCAATAAGTATACATTATTTCATGTCACTTCTTGTGTTTTTTATCTGAACATGTGTTTGTTGTCTGAACATAAAAATCTTTCACAAAAGTGTTTGTTGTCTGATTTGTTCACAGTCCAAACTGTTTGTTAACCAATCACCCACTGTAATTTGGACTAGAAATATGCAGTTAAGCCACTATCATCATCACCAAGATCATGTTAGATTAAATTATTAGAAATTAATTAATTAATTCAAAATATTCTGGAATAAAAGGCTGAACCAGAGTGAGACTCAAACCTGCTACTCCTGCTGACTACCTTTCAATTTTAGCTTTCAGACCAATTAATTTGGAAGATATAAACTACCATTTTGTATAGTTATCGGCCTTCCTTTAGAATAATATCTTAATATTTAATTAGCCACATTATGGCCCAATAAGAATCTATCTGTATTATTCAGTTTGATGTTTGTTCCAAAATCCAACATGGAATTGTTATTTCTACTTTTATTATGTGAAAATTTATTTAATTTCTTTATTTTTATAGATAACAATGACAACTCTTCCACCAGTAACAACAACCACAACAACAATAACCACAACTACTACAACAACAACAAATGTCAATTCAAAATCACCACAATGCATGAAACTTGATGTGGAGGTAAACCGTTTTTACATAATAAATATAGAAAATTTTATATTTTACAGGTCTTTTCTTGTCATAAATTGAATCTATCTAAAAAAATACATAACTTTTACAGGAGCAAGCCAGCATTGCCAAATTAGGTTTAGAAATGAAGATGTTAACATCGGAGATGGATGCAGAAACTAATAAATGGCCCACGACCGATAATGATATCGTACGACGTGCTCGAAGTATGTCGCAAATGGCTTTTTCTATGTATCAGTTTACTAGGGGAGAAGGAGAACTTAAAACCACACAGGTTAATTAACTTTGTTGTTTAATTTAAAAATGTATTAAAGCTTATAAACATAAAATAATTGAGTACACTTTATACGAAAAACGATTATCCAATGTAATTAATAAATCATTAAATAGAGCAGCGATTCTCAACTCATGTGCCACAAGAATAGTTTTAGTTTTTACTTTATCATATGCAATTCCACATTTACTATTTTATCCAATACAATAAATGTTATATTTATTGCTTTATTGTTCCATGAGAATAGTAAACGTGGAATTGCTTATCGATTTTTAAATATGTTGATGCTAACACTCTAAAAAGTATATGAAGGCCTCAGAAAGGTCAAGAACCACTGAAACAGAGATTAAAATGAGCCTCTGCACCAAAGTGACTTTTCAGAACAAACTCAGCTTTCACTTGTTTACAAAGGTGAATAAATTTCTGTTTCTACAAAGTAATTTTGTGCGGATATCTTCCTCCTTTTGTCTTTTATTGCTTACATGGAGATTTGAACATGAACAACAGACAGTATCACAGATTAGAGGCAGATATCTTGCATAGTTTATAAGCAGGACTATAAAAGCAAGGTTACTAATACTAACCTCAGACAATAATCACTGCTTTTCACCTTGAACAGACTATATATATATATATATGAAACAGGAAAAAATACAGACTTAAATTAATTCTATTTATGTAATTAATAGATTTATTATTTCTTTAAAATTTATAAATTCTTTTCCTTTAGGATCTATTTACTCAAGCAGAGTTTTTTGCGGAAGAAGCTAATAAATTTTATAAAGTAGTTCGACATTTTTCTTATCAGGTATGATTTGTTTCTTTGTAATTATTTCAGAATATAATTAGTTCTTATATCGTTATACCTGATTATAATGCAATAATTATAAAAAATTTCTTTAAAATCGATACAAAAATTAAGAATTACTAATAAATTTTGCTTATAAAAATTATCTATTATTTTATTTATTGGCATTAACAAGTGGACCCTAATGACTTTGCAACTAATAAACTTCATTAGGAAAATATTACACTTAATTAAAATTGCATCCTCTTCAAAGAAAAAGGATTCTATTACAAATTTTGCATGGTTCATTGATTAAATTAATGGACTGGCCTTGTTTTCCAGGTTTTATTTGTATCTAATGCCACTTTCTCATAAAAGTCTCCCTGGCAGATTGCCCAAATGTTAAATTGCTGTGCCTTCTTCCATCAATCCAATCAAAAATCATGAGAGTTGAGCTAATTTGAGCTCTTTTAACAAAGTTTCTTTCCTATCGTTACACAGAACAAATAGATCTTTGGGCACTCAAACAACCTTTTTCCATGTCCATTATAGGTTTAATCAGGTCAACAATGGGGGTGACTGGTGGTAAATGTTACTTAACCAGATCAAACTTCCACGAAAATTTCTGAGGATCCAAACCTGAGTCCCTGGAGACTGATGTACACAGGAGACAAAATTGAGACGATGAGTGTTGACGATTGGTTCCAATGATTGTCTCTTTTGATCTTGACAATTGTTTGAGCCTATCATTGATGTTCATCATCGTCTTTATTTTTGAACTCTTATGCTCTGGCCTTTGAAGTGTATTAACTTTGCCAATTAGCTGACAATAATGTGTGGAAGCTTAAAGAATGAAAATTTCTCTCCTGTCATTACATATTATGACTAAATTATGATGAAATCAATAACAATATTTTCACATATATTTCTTGTACAAATTAATATTACTACAAATTATACGGCAGGTGCAGGATGACCCAAAAGTTAGTTAACCATGTTTCGTTCTGTGAGATCTAAACACGCTCATAGATACGAATTATAAATGTATTTTTCTTTTACAAAAAACTGATGAATGTGAATAAATATCATTAAATATTTCTAAATTACTGAATAAGATAGCAGTTTAATCTTTATCTACAGTGGTTAACTGACTTTTGGCCATTCTACTCTAATAAATTATTTTGTATTTTTATTAGAGGTTACTAGAAAAATACGAGTTATCTGACCAGGGCAATTTTTATACATTTCTAAGCACTCGAACTATCCACGAAAAATTATATTCATATTCAAACCCGCCTCTCGCTACACCAAAAGTCAAAGTTTGTCCGTCCGTCTTGACATTTGCTCCTACCTTTCAATTGATTTTATTGATTTATAACTAGATTAATGCTCTTAATTTCAATTACTTCCTCAGATCAAATGATAATGAGCAGACAATGTTCAAATTATCAAGCTTATTCTATATTTTCTGAGATCGATATTTGACAATTGTCTTTTGTACATAGCCAGAAGCCGAGGTAATAAAGACATTGGCTTGGCACTCTGTTAGATCCTTATTCAAGTTTGAATTAGAGCATCAGTAATTTTTATGTAATTTTTAGTAAGATTTTAAAAAATGGCAGTTTTACAGCAACTTAATAGTATATTAAAATTTGTCATAGTTTATTGCATTATATCAAGGGTAATTGTATTATTTATAATTTCTATATAATCCAATATGTTTATACACTCGTATCCTGGGTAAAACTTGTGATGCATTCCCGAAAATGGAGCACTAAGCACATAAAATGGCCATTATAACATTCATTTATGATACCAGTATATAAGTTAAAATTTAAATAAGAATAGAATAAAATTCTTTCCAAATTATCTCAACATTCATACTAGCCTATGTAAGCTATGAATGTAAAGTTTGCTTTTAAATCTATCAAACCAACTCCTAGCTACAAATTTTTCTGACTCATCTCCAGTTTCTTATGTAATACGATCTCATAAATCTCATAAATATGGAGAATGCTTTGTGCATTCTCCATATTTATGAGATGTCTTAGGGGCATTTGTGCCATAACATTTGATCATCCATGCAAATACTAAGCTTTCTTTCCATTTCTTTAAACAAATGGCATCTTGAACAAGTTGCTTTTGCTGTTAAAAAGTTTGAGGTCTTAGTTGAATGTCTTATGCAATAACAACAACTTTAAAAAATGCAGATGAGCTATGGAAGCAAACTTTTAGTGGGAGGCCAGTGTGTGATGTTATGTAGCTACCTGGATCTAACTATTCTGTTCTCTCTTTATGAATTTAAATACCATCAAGTTATTCAGAAACAGTTTCATCATTGTTGCATCAAGGAATGCTTTTACAAGCCTTAATGCACTAAACACATTACACATATGTAGCCTGCATCACAGTAACAAGCCTCAAAAGTTTAACAACTTCACTGAAATATTCCACTTCTCCTGGGGTAAACTGCCTGAACAAATTTATATCATGAACAGATTTGTACATTCATGGAAATGCTGCAAGCTGGACTTTCAAGTAATCTTATAGAAATCAGTACTGTGACTTGTAACATTTAGAATTCTCCTCTAAAATCTGTTACTGAACACTGCTGATTGAATCTTGATTTTTGATTTTATTGCAGAGATGATGAGATCTAAACCTCTTGTAGTAGCCCTTACATATGTTAAATTTTGCTTCATTACTATCCCCTTTGTCCAGCTTCTCTGAGACTTTCCTTTTTCTAGGCAGAGTCAGTTCACCTATGTCATGTCTCTTTCAAACAACTTTTCTTAGGGCATTGTAATTCTCAAGGTTGGCATACTAGCCTTTAAAGTTTAATGTGTTAGACACAATGCTCTGAATCCAAGTGTTTGGAAATCATATTCCAGTTGTAATTCATTCTTTATTTTCTTGAATTGGGCTTCTTGTTTTAGAGACTACGTTATTAACTTAAACCATCCAGAGTATTGCACTTGACTTTGTTCTTTTTAACATCATCAGAACAAGAAAGGATCAATTGGTGCTAATAACAATGAAGCTTGAGGCTCTTTATCCAATAATTTTTTAGCCACTCCAGTTTTTTGTCCTGCTAGAGCAGAAGCCTCAAACTGCATAAGTTAAATGGAATTAGAAGTTGTATTTTCAAATTCATACAGACCTATGAATTCCTCATTTGCATTGAATTGTTGAACTACTCACCGAACACATATCACTAACTGTTCTTTGTTACTGCAGTCAGTTGCTTTGTTGTACATAATATTGCAGTACTTCTTGCAGCTAGAAAATTTGCTCCTGATTTCAAAAAGCCATTATTTTAATAATTTCACACAGCACAGAAGAGGACTGCTTTAAGGATACAAGTGTGTATAAACATATTGAGTGTGATATAAATTTAACAATCCATAATTTAATTAGTTCTGTAGAATGAAATTAATTAAATAATAATTTTAATATTAAGGTTCCCGGAGAACCACCAAAGAAGGAGCTGCTTGAATATTTAGATCGAGTCCCCACTTTTGTCCAACAGCTTCAATTTACCGTCAAAAATCCTACAGTTGGCAAAGCCGCTACATTCACAAAAGTACAAAAAAAGATAATTAATTATAATTATAATAATATTTAGAATTCATTTTATAATGTTTTGTCTTTGTATCGTGCAGGTAGATAATGTGATAAAAGAAACTAAAAATCTAATGAATGCCATTTCAAAGGTTGTAACTCATTGTTTGGGATGTGCAACAAAGGTATTCTCTTAAACTTTACTTATAGTATAATTTCTCATTATAATTAAATATGTATAAACTATATTATTTTACTAGTACAATTTGGATTTTTCCGGAGCGGGTTCAGACCGTTCTCGTCTAATGGCTCAGTACAGAGGAGAGGGCGAAGAGTACGTAGACCCTAATGCCGGGATGCCACCCAAAGCGGGAGTTCAGAGCGCGTCGGATCCGAACATTTGACAATTAGGGATCGGCCCCCGGAGGGCCACGAGCGAACCCAGGCGCACCACCCGTGTGTCTTTCTTAACACTTTTGGGGGCAAAATCCAAGCGAGAATAGTAAAATATTTTAATTAGTTTAAAATAGTAAAATAATATCTAGATACATACATATATATAAGTATATGTATGTATGTATGTATGTATGTATGTATGTATATATATGCATTTTATTTCTATAACATTTGATTTTTAATTTATAGAATTATTATTTTACGAAATCTATTATGCCATGAATACAACATAAAGAAAAAAAATATATATTTTTTTATAAATATACTAATACCAGAAAGAAAAAATAGTTTATTTATAACATAAAGAAAAGTGCATCATTTCACAAGTTTTATTGCAAAAATAATTTAACGAACAAATAATACTTTATTCTACAAAAAAATTCATTTGTGAATATGCAATTATGCTTTTCTTCTTTCTTTTTGTCTAATTTTTTGAAATTATTATAATTATTTTGCTTTGTTGATATTCCAGTACTTAATTAAAATGATAGAGGCCGAAATGGAGATTTTTCACTAATTTGAAAGCTTTGAATCGCTATATAATTCATCATCTTTTCAATTGGCCAGTTGTCATTCTTTCAATTCTAGATTTACTGGTTGACAAATACATTAGGACAGCATCCAGAATTACATTATTAATCCTTTTTCTGCAAGCACACTGTCATGCCATTCCACAATACATAGTAACCAATGGCTGTAGTATTCACTAAGGACTCATTCATATGGTAATACAGATGTGTTGAGAATGTTGTGTATGTATTCATTCAGCAAGATAGTTGACCGAATAAATTTGTACCACGTGGCACCCTTGACACTTGTCGTCAAGATTAAAATATCTGTGATATGTACAGATGCAATCCGTTTCGAGTATAGATGTATCGCAAATTCACCCCTCCTGGAGGAAATGAAACTTGTTTTTAAGTCCTTGCTTTTATCTAGGAATATGATTTGCAGCTCTGAATTAACTCATATATGTTCCTGGATAACATCACACTCTTCAATTAATTAAGAATCATTATTAAAAAATTAATTACTTGATAATTTAAACTGATGATTAACAGCAATCTATTATATACAAGTTGTGTTTTTATGTATATTATTAAGCAATGCATCAATATCACAATATTTGATGCTAAAGCAAGGTGACTAGGAATGTGAGCATGTTAAATTAATCCTTTGTTATTAGCAGAAAAACAAATAGCATTTAGTACAGTACAGTAGAGCATCGATTATCTGACCCCCGATTAACTGTCACCTTGGTTAACCGACCGCGTTCTAGTCGGCAAATTCAAATGTCCGCTAGTGATGTGACACTACAATATTTGGCTATGTCTTGGCTACTTTAATATTATTTTTACATGTTTTAGCTGGCAACACTGGATCGACCGTGAAAGGGAGCCAGTATTTAAACGAGGCTTAATTTTCAATTTTTAACAATACAATAGCGACAATTATTATTTTAAAAAAAAAAAATTGATAGGCTTAACATGGTGGAAAATTCAACGCAAAGTAGGTTAATAGCGATATACTGATATAATAATATACTACACTAATAATGGATTTTTTCATACTTTTCGGTTATCCGACTTTTCAATTATCCGACCAACCCCAGTCCCCAATTGAGTCGGATAATCGATGCTCTACTGTATTTACTATTGGCAATTTGTTTAAATGAATTTAGGAAAATTATGTGATCAATATTGAAGGAGTCAGCTCAATGGACAAGGCAACATAATAATTGCCACGAGTGGAGAAAAATCAAAATTATAAACCAAATGCAGCAGAGTAGTAAATGTATTTTAAAGTTGTTTATAAACAGTTTGTACAAGAGTGCTAACACTAGAAGTGTTCTCTATTGGCAACCTTTCTGGAAGCAAGGGCTTTGCCTCAAGTGCAAGTTATCATCGAGCTGGTACCAAATATTATTTATTTCGATTAATATCACAACCAAATTCTTCACTGAAAATTTGAACTTATCATTAGTTCAAACCTCATTATTATGCATTGATCTTGTAACATCTGGCATTAGAAATTAATTTCATTTCTTAATCAGATTATCAGTTATAACAGTGGCACTAAATCCAATTAGTTCACATCATAATTAGAGAGTTAGGGAAATGAGTCTCTGCACTATAACTCTTATTATTGAAACATTCAGTATGCTGATCTTTCTTTTGATAATTTAACCAAATAACGTCATTAATTTTTAGCTTGATAGTTAAAGTGTTTGTCATTAAAGTAGAATAATAATCTGATAAGGCAAATTTAGACATCTCTTTATATAAGAGCATATACATTGTTATATAGCAACGTACTCTCATAGAAGAGATACGAAATATATATGTATCCGTTCTTAGTAAAGGAAGTCATGGAGCAACCATCTACCTCTTCCTTAGTAGAAAGTACATCATTGTGTATCATCTATTAATTTCTTCTGTAGAGAGATGGCACATGATGACGTACCCTCTTTCATCACCTAATACCCTACCTATCTAGTCTATAGGAGTAAGTATATTATCTTTACAACCATGTCTCCTCTGTTGGAGCACTTACATTATTATGCATTTAACATCATTTATTCAGCATGCTCTAGAACTGTATAACAATAATACAATTAAACAAGTTTTACTGTACATGTTATGCATAAACATTGCTGCATCTTCAGGCTATTAGTAGTATATTACACTCCTATTTTATAAACAGGGCATTACAGAAGCTACCAGCGATTATATTTTCAGTTTAATTGTTGAAAATTTAGAAATGTGATCCCAAAAAACCTCCATTTCAAGCCTCTATCAATCACAAACATTCAAGTTTGTATGCAAAAATATATACATATAGCAATCGACATTTATTGTATGCACTGCAAACTACATGGTGGGCCACGAAAAATGCAAGTGAACTTCAAGTTATTAGTATTTTATTCTTATTTATCAATTACAATAGGTGCTGAAAATGCCTGCCACTTACATCTCTACATATTTGGCAACACTATAACTTTATGACGTGTTTAGAAATTTGATGCAAAATTTTGGGTCTAACCTCATCCAAACTTCTTGGATTGGTTTCAAAAGTGACATTTTTGAAAGATCCATAAAAAAATAGCATGGCAGAGACAGATCAGGACTGCATGGTGGCCAGAGTCTGTGTGAAATCATCAAAAACATCCTCTAAGAATGGAATTCTGTCACATGCTCAATGTGCAGTAGGCACGCAACAGTGCAGTCCCTCTCTTCCACCTCCAACAACGAAATACACTGCATTAAGATGTTTCTGTACTAGATACATGGATTAGTATGAAAAAAATTGGGCCAATTATGTGACAACATAAAATGATGCACTGGACGTAAACTGCTTCCAAGCTTTGTGGGCATCTACTTGGCATTCTGGGCATTCACATAGCCTTTAAGATGAAACTAAGCTTTATCACATCCATGTTATTCCCACGGTTTGTAAAACAAAGTAACAAATTGCAAAAGCAAAGATATTTAGGCATGTCTACAAGCTTAAGCTCTTGCTGTATAAATACCAATTTTTCAAGCTCTTCACACTAAAGTTCAAAACAACTGCAAAGAGTTTGTAATGATCTTGATCTCGTGTGAAAACAATGCTTGAGAATGAATGCACATTGCTTTCCTGAATACGGCATGTTTCCACTTGAACAAAATGTTAAGAAGCATAAGCTATGCAAATTAGCAGGGTAGCTCACTAGAAGTGTAAGCTGTGCATGCCATAGTTGTGTAGTTGCTGGGCATTCAATAGAATTAACCTGCTCCTACTGCGCACTGGCATTTTCCATGGCCCACCCTGTACTTATCTACACTTTTGAAAGCTCGAGAATATTTTTACGCAAATTATTTCCAACAAAGAATAAAACCAAGACAAAGAACTTTATTTTATTATAAAGTATAATCATTAATATGATTCAATAGGACACGAAAGAGGTGAAATGGAGACCCTCCGTAGCGGGATCCGAGCTATTAGGCCCTAACTTATTATTAAATAAAATTAAACAATAAACGATAAATGCAATGTTTTTTAAAGTTTCTTGTACTTATCTCTTAGACTGATTAATGAGAAGAAGACGTGGGTTCGGTTCCCAACTGATATACTCTTTTTCTGTCTGGTTCTTTGTGTTTATCTTCAAGTAGACATGAGACCGACGTATTAAAGTTATAGTGATTTTTATTATACGATAGCCCTTTTTCAAAAGGGGTTCCTGTACATTTTTCTTCTTCTTGATCTGTATTTTCTTCTTGTTGATCTTTTCCTTACTCTTTTGGTTTTAATTTTTTTTTCTTTTTCTTTTCTTTCTCATTGTTTTTTTTTTCCTCCCAGTTTCATCTTTTCGTAATTTCTTCATTTATTTCTTGTTTTTCTCATAATTGTTCTTCTTCTTCCCATCCTTTTTCTTCTTTTGTTCTTTTCCTTCTAATTGTTTTTTCTATCACTTTCTATTCCTCCATTCTTCTTCTTTCTTCTTCTTCTCTTCTTCTTCTTCCTGCTCTTCTGCTTACTTTTTTGCTCTTTTCCTTCTTGTTCTTGCTCTCTCCAGCACATTATTTTTGCTCCTATTCTTATTCTTTCTCTTCTACTTATTTTTTGCCCTTCTTCTTGCACTTATGTTTATATTTTGCCCTTCTTATTTTTGCCCTTCTGTTTATTTTTGCCCTTCTCTCTTGCTTTTCTGCTTATATTTGCTCTTCTTCTTCTTGCTCTTCTGATTATTTTGCAATTATTTTCCCTCTCTTATTCTTCTTTTTTTTCTTGCTCTTCCTCTTGTTCTTGCTCTTCTCTTTCCTCCTAATCTATCCTTTGAGCAAATTTTTAGAATTAAAACCGTAAAATAATTATACTTGAAATGAGAAATATATGTCAGATTTTATTCAATATTCTGACAACCACTTAAAAGGTATTTTTAGACAATTAAGCAAACTTGCAGTATCTTTGCAGTATCAATTGCCTGACACGATCATACTNATTTAATTTTATTTCACACAGTTGCACCTGACTTTATTTATTTATTTATTTATTTATTTTTAAATATTGAATGCATTACTACTGTATAATACAAGTGCTAGCTTTGTTTTCTCAGGTAACATGCTGTACAATAATTGAAAGTTTTTATGACAATCAGATAACATTACTTGCACCATTT